AGCCCTTATGAAAAGAGGAAGTTACTCACCTTGTGCAGTAACAATGGTTCTTCAAGGTGTGTTCCCCCCATGGGTGCTCCACTTCAGGTGTCAGGCTCGTCTTGGCAGGTCGGAGATTCATCAGCCATAGTTCAGCTGGACTGCGCATGCGCGGTGGGCGTCATGTGCCTTTCGCACCGTTCCTGAGTCTACGCATGGTCCGGCTCCCGCCAGTTCTTCCTAATAGGATCACATCTGAAAGACATAAAGAATAGACTCCGAAACAGGGATGAGGGCAGGTCTTGAAGCACCCAAAGGGACACACACACCCCCCTACCTTGAAGAACCGTCGTTACTGCACAAGGATAGTAACTTACTCTTCTTCTTTGGGTAGTGTCCCTGTGGGTGTTCCACTTCAGGTGACTACAGAGCAGAGAATCAGAGTTGCAATCTATCTGCCATAGAAAGTACTGCAGAGACCACTGCTGAGTTGCCACACGACATATATCCTGTATGGAGACTCCTTTGAGAAAGGCCATTGACGCGGCCATCACTCTGGTAGAATGAGCCTTCATTGTGTTTGGAAGGGGTTTTTTATGCAGTGAGTAGCAGCAGGACATGCAGATCACAATCAGCTTGGAGATGCACTGTGACATCAAAGGTTGGCCTCTAGCTTGTCCATCTGTGCATAATAGTAAACATTGTGATTGTCGGAAAAAGATGTGTTCTTTCCAGGTAAAACACCAGAGCTCTATGTACATCCAAGGTATGCAGTCGGGCTTCATGGTTGGAGGAGTGCAGCTTGGGATAAAATGTTGGGAGTACTATGGGTTAATTGACATGGAACTCTGAGTTGACTTTCAGTAAGAAGTTTGGGTGGGGGTACAGTATGACCCACAGGGTGTACGGTGGTGTGGCCGAAAGGGCAGCCAACTCACCTACCCAGTGTGTGGACGTAATCATTAGTAAGAAGACTATTTTCATCGTGAGCATTGCAACATCACAGGTGGCTAGTGGCTCATAGTAAGAAGACTATTTTCACCGTGAGCATTGCAACATCACAGGTGGCTAGTGGCTCAAATGGTGGATACACCAGAGTATCCAAGACCAGTTCAAGGTCCCATAGCACTAGGGGTTTTCTGTGCAGAAGGCATAGATTGGAGAGACCTTTTAAGAATTGTTTGGTCATGGGATGGGCAAATATTGAGTAACCTTCTACTGGTTGTCTAAAGGCAGAAATCGCCGCAAGATGAACTCTGATGTACAATAACGCGAAGCCCGAATGCTGGAGGTGTAATACATACTCGAGAATTAGGTGAATAGGAGTAGATAATTAATCAAGATTAACAGCAGCACACCAGATGTAGAAACAGAGCCATTTATGCAGGTAAGTTGTTTGTGTGGAATCATGTCTACTGTGCATTAGCACATGCTTTACCTACTGAGAGCAGATGACTTGTGTGTTGGAACCAGCTAGGAGCCATGCTGTGAGGTGCAGTCGGTCGATTTGAGGGTGCATCATTGTCAGCCCTCATTGTGTCAGAAGGTTGGGTCATTCTGGCAGATTGTATGAAGGACAGAGACATTTAGAAGGGAAGTGAAAGCCATGTCTGTCTGGGCCAAAAGGTAGCTATGAGTGTAATTGTCGCTCCATCCATTGATACTATTTGAATAGTGTGACCGCAAATTGTGGATAGGAACCATTTGCAGGCATTGAAAACTGCCCTAAACTCGAGAAAATTCATATGCTGAAATGATTCTTGTGCAGACCATTGCCCCTGAACAAGAGATCCCGCACAGTAAGCTCCCCAACCCAGAAGAGACTAATCTGTCATAATCTGTACCATGGGTTGTGGATGATGGAAAGGAACGCCTGTGGGCATTGTTGGTGGACGAGACTCACCATGTCAGGGAGTCCTGCACTGTCGGAGGTACTGGCACCGATCTGTGAATGTCGAGGTTGCCTGAGCGATAGATGGAAGCTACCCAATGTTGAAGGCATCTGAGTTGTAGTCTTGCATGTTGCACTACATAAGTTGTGGCTGCCATATGTCCCATGAGCTGCAATCATGTAAATATGGGAACTTTGGGATTGATGGAAAGAATGCGAATAAGGTCCCATATTGTGTGAAATCTGTCTAGAGGAAGGTAAACCCTGGCCGTTGTAGAATCTAACCATGCCCCAATGAACTAGAGGAACTTTTGGGGCATGAAAGACGACTTTGGGAGATTGAGACTCTTGGACTAGTAATCAAACAGGTTTCTTGCAATGTTGGTAGCACGCACCGCATCGTCGAATGAAGGCGCCTTGATTAGGTAGTCGCCTAAGTACAGGAATATTATAATGCCTTGCCTGTGTAGATGGGCGGCCACCACCGATAGAGTCTTTGAGAAAACCCTGGGCGCTGATGAGAGGCCGAATGGGAGGACTCTGTATTGGAGTCCATAGCTATGCGGAATCTGAGGAAACACCTGTGTGCCAGGTGTATTGTCAAATGAAAGTAGGCATCCTGTAAGTCAAGGGACATAAACCAATCTCCAGTGTCAAGTGCTAGAATGATAGAAGCTAATGTTACCATCCTGAATTTCTTTTTCTGAAGGTACCGATTGAGTTGCCGAAGATCCAGAATAGGTCTCCATCCCCTGGACTTTTTCTCCGTGAGAAATTAATGAGAATAGAAACCCTTGCCCTGAAACTGTTGGGGCACTCTCTCCATGGCACCAATGTGTATCAGGTGCAGGAGCTCTTGCATTAGGAGGGCCTCATGAGAGGGGTCCCTGAAGAGGGACGGGGACAGAGGAGAGGAGGGGGAAGGGGGGGAGGAAAAGGATCGTGTAGCCAGATGTCACTAGCTCTTGGACCAAACGGTTGGTGGTGATGGCGAACCACCTTGGTTGGTATGGGTTAGGGTAGGTATTTCAGGGGAATGGTCTGCAGTCCCTCCACCAGTCCGTCAAACTGTCTGTCGGTTGTTCTGTAGGTTGGGCGCTCTGCTGGTCTGAAGGCACCGTTTTTGTTGTCACTGTTTTGCACGCTGTTGCGGGTTGTATTGTCTGAATCTTGATGTGGCATAAGAGAAAGGTCTCTCTGTAATATGGTGTGTAATGTTTGCAGCAATAAGGTGATGTGTACATGCCAAGGGTCTTCAGGGTAGTCCTTGAATCTTTACCCGAGTGCAGTACTTGGTCTGTCTTCTCTGCGAACAGGCTCTGTCTGTCGAAGGGCAAGTCTTCTACCTTCAACTACAGATCTTTAGGGACTGAAGCCGTCTAGAGCCATGAAGATCTGCGCATCACCACCAAAGTCACTGTGGTTCGTGCGGCAGTATCCACGATGTCTAAGGCTATCTGTAATGCAACCCTAAACACATAGAATACTAAGACTGGAAGGGACCTTGAGAGGTCATCAAGTCCACTCCCCTGCCCCCATGGCAGGACCAAAGCCCTCCTGTACTATGGACTTCAGTATCTGATGCTTGTCATCAGGTAGGTGTTCTATAAGAGTGACCAATTTTGTATAATTATCAAATTGTATAATTATGGTTGGACAAGAGAGTCGCATAATTTGCCATACTGTGGGTCAATGTTGCAGATGAAAAAACTTTCCTTCCAAATAAGTCTAGCCACTTGCCCTCTTTGTCAGAAGTGGAGTTCTTGTATTGGGGCGTTTTGGCCCTTGGTTGAGCTGCATCCATAACTAGCGGATTAGGTTGGGGGGATGCATCAATAGAAAATCCATCCCCTTTGAGGGGACGAAGTATTTCTTATCCACCCTCTTGTTCATTGGTTGAGAGGAAGCCAGATTCTGTCAGATCTCATTCGCAATCTCAAGGATTGCCTCATCCATTCTAGAATTTTATAACGGCCGGAGGTTTTTCAGAAGCTGGTGTTTTTGTTGCACTCTGACAAGTTGTACTTCTTATGTGTCTGCCACTTCTTTGAACAACACGTGAAATTATCAAATATCGTCCATTGGTGATGAGTCGCCTGGAAAGACTGCATTGTCCGGGGAAGAGGAAGACTGATCTGTTGGGGACTCTACATGCAGTTGTGACTGCTCTGATGTTTGGATCCCCTCCAATTCAGGTTGATGCGCTGCTGCTGTTACGTCTCCTGAAGGGGTGGGTGGTCTTTTGGCCACCTCTGGAGGTGTGGGTAGTCCAGCAGTGTTGTGCGAATGTTGACGTTCATAATAATGGGGAGATCTTGAAGTCGAATGTTCAATGGAATAATGATATTGTGATAGTTACGATGTTCGTGGTAACGGTCTTAATAGTACCTCCTTGGGGAATAGTGAGGAGAGTACCTCTTCCAGGGAAAGCAAGAACATCTGGAGTAGGATAATAGGGTGGGTGATCTGGGTGAATGAGATCTACCCCGTGAATGTGTTGGTGATCAAGAGCGTCTGTAATAACAGTATGGCGATGGTGAATATCGCCGAGAGCGGCTATGATGTAGAATATCTAGGATGGCACGACTCTCATGCGCTGAACACACAGAGACAGGAGAAGTCATGGAGCGAGGCTGTGGGAAGAAACAAGCCGGTTCAGAGCTAGGAAAGGGCATTATTACTCTTCTAGACTTGCCTCTAGCCTTCTCCAGTGCCAAGGATGGCTGTTGGCCATGTGACATGTCATGCGCTGGTGCTGAAGGTAATGCCTGAAGGTTTACAGGGACACTGAAATATAGTGGGCTTGCTATTCCAAAGTAACAGGCTTGCTGTGGAGACACAGGATAGCTATTTGAGGATACTCCTTTATCTTGAAATATTGTTGCAGTGAAGACAGCCACAGTGGGGCTTTATAGTTTGCTATAATTCAAACAAAAATTTGAGAATAGAGGATATAAACATGCTACATTTAGTCCCCAACTGCATGATGTCTCTCTTTTTCCCAAACTTCCAAGTGATTATGAACTATGTGCTACCATTCAACTATTCTAAGAAATATTATACTTAAAATGTAGTGAACAGTCTTGTGGAAAAAGTACTACTGATTTACATTTTACCAGGTGTCAAAATATATTTAATCAGTCAATGACCCTCACTTTAAGTACAGTCTTTTTAAAAGATTCACATTTCTTAGCACTGTCAAAAAATCAGCCTGACAACAACTCCATTTAAAAAAAATACATGGATCTTATATATATTCTTGATTATGTATAGATCTATTTCCAGAATCCAGATTGACTTTAAAATGAGTATTTCGTATCTGGCTATGAACCAGGACCAAGGGGAAAAAAAATAAACTGTTTATTTTCAAAGAAGGAGAGGAAAGTAAGCATATATAATTCCAAATTATAGTACAGGACAGAGGAGAGTCCAGAATCTCAGATGCATCAGTATTTGAGAAGTGGGGTAGAAAACATGCACTCTCCCTCTTCCAAAAACAGTATTTGAAAGTGTTCTTCAGCAATGGCCATCAACTCTGTCATAAGTTTACACATTTCTAAGTCACATACATCTGTGACTCCATAATTACATGGTAGAAATAGAACTTTACCATAACACCAATTCCTTTACATGGCTGCCACATTGCTTGTTGCTTGTCTCAAAAGTAGGGGAGATACTGCAAAGCTAGACACAATAAAGAATTCCAGGGTAAATAATGAATGAATAATGTGGCCATGCCTAGTTTGCAGTCTTTGTCTTGACACATATAACCTTCTGTATTAATAAAAAAGATGGCTACCACAAGGACTTTGGTCTAAAGGTTAAAATAAACAATTTTATTTTAAAATACAGTTCAGATCTGTGTACAAATAAAACATGTTTTGCCCCCCTATGGGCTATCAGACTGCCAGATGTTTCTACCAGTCACCAGTGCCACACTAATGCTGAAATAAAGAAACAAGCCCCAGAACAAAGTTCAAAACCATTTCTTCCTTCAATCACTGTTCTTGCAGTGTCCTGTGTTCAGAGGTTCAGACTTCACCTAGATTATGAATCAAAAAATAGAAGACGTGGTGAAAACCTGCAGGCAAATTCTCAGGATGCTCTTCCAATTCCCTGATATTTTATGGCCATCCTGGTGCAAAAGCCTTGGGATTAAATGGATTCTGCATGTTTGCTACACTAGATTAACAATGCATACTGTAGAATGGTGAAAGATTTACAAGCAGTGGGGGGCAACCTTGGGGTTCTATATGTGGCCCATGAAACATTGTTTACCACTGCCCATGGGCAGGACTGCCAGCTTATGCTGGTTTCCATCCACGTAGTGCCCCCCCATGAGTATTATTAAAGTGACACACACTTAAAGCAAGGACACATGAAGCGATCTGCTTGTACACAACATAGACCACGAGAGCTACCTCATCCCACATACTGCTATGAATCAGTTGGCACATCCTGCAAATTCTAGGTATGCAAGCACAGTTAGCAAAATAATCTATCCCATGAGACAGTCTTGGTTATGACAATCTTGCAGCCCACTGAGATGAAGACGACCCACTCATGAGGCCCATTTACTAGCCTTGGCTGCCTATCACTGATTTAAAACACTTTTAAACATCATCTTTACACAAGTTTGTGGCTGGTAATTTGAGTGTCAATTAGAACTTATTTGCTCCTCCTACAAACTTACAAAGTTTTACAAAATACTATTTTTTCTGTACATTAGCATTAAATTACTAAAATAAGTTTAAGTTATTCTGCTTCTTTGAGTTCACTGAGTTAAGTAAAACTTTATAGAAACACTTTAAAAAAGTTCATTTGAACATAGTAGCAGTACACTGCAAGCTAATATTCAAGTTGTGATCATAATTTTGAAAGCTACCTCAATATTCTATTTTTACAAGAAAAAATAATTCAGTAATTAGCTTGTAAAAATACAGGAAAAATGCTTATGCTTCTCTTAAACATGTTAAAGATGGTGACAAGAATCAAAGTGTGTTTTCGTGTTTCATATTTGCACTGTATCATTTTAAGTAAATAACAAGCTTAATGCTTTGTTCTGGATTTTTCATTTATTGGAAAAATGTCATCTTGTCTGTAAAGGTTACATGTTGTAGCTAATAACTTAATGTGGTCTCAGTTCTTTCTTGGAGTCTTCCTTTCAGTCTGAACATGTATGATTTGGAAGAGAGCTATATATTGGCTATGGGTACCTAAAGATCTTCAAAACACCAACTCCAAAAGGCACTTGGTAGCAGAGGCCTGCTCAGCCCTTGCTAAGGCAATATTCTCACTGGTGTGATTTTGAGTGAAAGCCTGACTCCATTGAAGTCAATGGCAAAACTTACATTGACTTCAGGGAGGCCAGGTTTTCATTTTAGATATTTTGCCTTATTAAGGAGTGCAAGAATAGGCCTGGAAGAATTGTACTGCTGGACAAAAAGTCAATACTAATATGACACATGCAGTTATGTTATAGCGAAGACAAACTGAATTCATTTGGTATTCAGCAGGGCCAAAAAAAATTTACAGTAATGATTAAGTGGCAAAGATTGGTGAACACATGCCTGCAGCATATGAGGTACAGTAAATAGGTGATAAGGAAGGGAGAGAGGGAAGAAACAATATGTTGGAGTCAAATCCTCAAAGTCTGTAACTATGTTGTACTACTGGCTAAGTATGTACACTCAGAACATTTCAAAGGCTACAAATTATATTCAATGAAACTGGGTAAATTATTCAATATGCCATAAAATATGTAAATATTCACTTACATAAATGAAAGGATTCTAGTTTACACAGATAAATTGTAACAAAAACTCATCCTAAATATTAAGTTTATAAGCACGGGAAGGAGTGCAGAGAAGAGGAAGAAATCAGTGGCAGAAGAGTACAGAGTTATCATAAAAACAATTAAAAAACACAAACAAGTGGATGATCACATTCATGAATATATCAAAAACTGAAGTCAAATTTTGCTTCATATAGAAAAGTTCTGAGTTATAAATAATTGCATGTTAATCAAATAATTACTAGTAAATTCCCTGTTTTACCCAGCTATTCATAAACAAAACTCCAAATGTCACACTGAAAACTACTGTTTTTCACAAAAATAGTTGAAATGCTGAATCTAAAATGACTGTTGTTGATGAACGTGAAAAAGAATGTCAGTCATATAGATATGATAGCAGGTATATGATCAAAAATTCTTATGGAATATACATTCTTATAGAATATATATTTTTATTTGCCCCGTTTCCTTTTGGTTCATAAAAGGCACTTTGTGGACAGCTAAAGCTTTGACAAAATATCCTGTTAGCTTTCCTGGTAGACAACAGATGTATTTCAAGTTGATTTACCATAAAGATATGAACACATTCTTTACAGCAATTATTAGTGCAGATTTATCTCTGTTAAAAATTTTACAGTTAAGTATTTTGTCTAGTAACATTTATTTAAAAGAAGAGGTTTTCTAAGTTCAAAAAACCAATACTGGATCTTCATACACAACTTCAGTGTTTGGTAGGTAATGTCTTGCAAGTTAAAGTACAAAATGCATTAAGTTCATGCCAACAAAATAAGCTTTGCATGGGTCTTTCAGAAGTGGGTCCTCAGTCTTTTGTTTTCTTCTCGTAATTTTTCAATTTCGGCTACTAAACTTTCATTTACAGAGTATCTTTCAAGTAAGGCATGCATTTCATTCTAGAGGGAGAAAAAAAAAAAAGGTGAAAAAACTCTTCTCATCAACAGCCAAAGTTTACTATTCAAATTTTGTTCGTATCTACAGAAAAAACAAGCAATGTAGACGTTTTCTTTTTGCGCAAAAACCCCTTTTTATGCAAGATCGGTAAATCGCCTTGTTTGGGGCATAAAGATCTTGCGGGAAAAGGGGGTTTTGCGCAAAAAGAAAACGTCCACGCTGCTTGTTTTTGCACAAAAAATCCAGCGCAAAAACGGATGGGCATAAAGTATGCAAATGAGATCACGAGTCATTCAAATGAGCCCCTCATTAGCACATTTTTTGCAAAGAAAATTTGTAGTGTAGCCATAGCCTCAGACTAGGGATTTGAGAGTTTCATTTCAAATTGAGCTCCTGTACACAATAAAAACATTGTTAATGTTAATTATTTTTAGTATTTGCACAAGGGATGTGAAAGGCTAACCAGTTAACCGGCAAGCATCACCCTCAACAGGTAATGCTTACCGGTTCCAGTTAACCATAAGGGCTGGAGCAGTTCCCTGACTGCCCTAGGCAGGGGGCTCTTCAAGTTCCGTGGGGCCCACCACAGCCAGCCAGCTGGAGGAACCCTTGTCTGTGGCGGGACCCCCTCGCCACAAATTGAAGCAGGCAGGGGCTGCTGACACCATTCCCAGGGAGCTGGATACAGAGCCCACAGAGAAGCCTCCTCCCCCAGAGCAGAGCCGGCACCTCTTGCCGGCTCCATTCCCAGGGAAGCGGCTTCTCTGCAGTAAAGAAGCCTCCTCCCTGGGAACAAAGCCAGCTACCCCTGCCAGCCCAGCTCCTGGGGAAGGCAGCTCCTCTGCTTATTTAAGCTTTATACTACTTACTTAAACTTTAGACTGTAGAGCCCACAGCATGTGAAACTGCTAAAACTTTCAGTGGTAACACCGATATCTTTTTAACTGACTTTTTACATCCATAGTTCACACTACAGTAATGTAGAGTCAATGGTAATCTCACACATCTCAGTCCATTGCTCTCTCCATATGAATATGGAGAAGGTAAAAAAAAAAAAAAAAAAAATTGGCAAATAATTTGATTTTGTTTTAGGCTGGTAAGTAGAAAAACCATCACCATATGGAGCAATATTCTGTGTTATACCACAGAGATTAGGGCCCACTTACCAAGGCTAATAAGAGGGCCCTTACCATATAGTTTAAAACTAAACTATAGGTTAGTTTAATTTGCCTTTTGGAAGCTTAATAGATTTCAATACTTCATTTAAATCTGTTTCAAGCTGAGCAAATAAACACAGATATTAATATGTAGGAGTTTCCCATCCATCTCTTCCCTGTATGTTTTCTATTTAGATTGTAAGGCATGCATGTAGCTTTCAGTTATATCTGAAGTGGCAGGCACACTATTACTTATAGACATTTTCATATTTTTCTTTGTACATACCAACTGCATATGGAACTGTTTAATCATCTCCACTTGCAAATTCACAATGTCTCGATGGCATGCTTCTCTGGGGGAACAAAAGTATAAGTAGTCCCAAATGACATGTCTCATGAATGTCCTAAAGACATTAGTTCTCTAGTACCCAAACAGAAACCCAACTAGCTTATTACACTATATATCCTGGGTACAGGATTAAGTTCAATGACTATCCCCCCCACTACCAACTGGTGCAGGAAGACAAGTGTAATTGTAATAAAGCAATCAGTCATGGCCCATGTCTCTCCCTACTTCCAGTTCCCGCAGAACAGTTCATCCAATGATTATATGCATCCTTCTCCATAGCGCTTGAAAAAGAGTTTTAAGAGAAGAGCAATGCAGAACATTTGAGAGCTTGTCCCCTCTTTGCTAACAGGACCAGAAATGCCAGTAGAAAGTAGGGATGTGAAGATTTAACCAGTAAGCCTCACCCTTAAAAGTTGAAGCTTACCAGTTAAGGTTAAATGCTAGTGGGATGGGGGGATGTCGCAGACAGGGGCTGCTCAGGCAGGGCTGGAGCAGCCCTTGCCTGCAGCCTGCCCTCTGGCATCCTGGGCAGTGCAGCCTCAGTCCACAATGGGCCCAGGTGCCTCACAGGTACTTTTTAGTTTACTTGGGGGTGAAATGGATTCAGAGAAGCAATGGTGTAATTCCATTTTTCCTCTAATTCCTTGTCTTTGAAAAATACTCATAAGAAAGTCAAAGGCAACAGCTTCCACAGCATCCAAGCCACCTCAACAGTCAGGATCTCAACAGCACCAAAATTTGTGGCATCCAGAGTCTGAGATTTTAAGTAAGGATTCCCACCTTATTCTAACTTAGAATTTGTTCTAAAACTTCTTAGCCTACTCCATTAAAGCAGGGATCAGAGTAGAGTTTCCCCAGTCAGGGGCCTGATGACCTGTGTTTGATGCTAGAAAATGTATTTTACAAAATTGGCACTCCTTAAGCCTAGGCTTTCTAAAGGGATCTGTCATCCACAGTGACTGATGACCTTCATGTTTACATACGTTTCCAGGTAAACATTTTTCTTTCAAGTGCAAAAAATATGAATCTTATATTCTATTAATCTATTATAATAAATAGATACAGAGAATACAATGGTGTAGGCTGAAATGCTCAAAGAAATTGGTGATGCAAAGATTTGGATCACAAGGGCACACATGCCAATCTCAGTAACTAAATATCTGGGTCATAGCTCAAGACAGCTTTTCTCCCAAGAGAGCTTGACCTTTTTCTTAAGAATCGGAGGGAAAGAAAAGTGAAATATAAGAAAACTCTGCCAATAGGAAAAAAACTCCCATACATTTTTATTATATTTCTTGATTACATCCTGAAGTAGTTTATAAATAAAAGCAGCTATGTTATTTTCTCTTAAAACACAATAAAAAAGGAGAAACACTTCTGGAGTAGGTGGAAATTACACTAAAACAGAAAGAAGAGCTCAGTGTCATAGTATAAATAGATTTTGCTAATAACAAAATGATAGTTCTGTCAGACACCGGAATGTGTTTTAACAACAACAAAAGCGATCTATTATATAATGTTGTTTAATAGAAAACAGATAAAAAAGTTATCACAAGAACAAAAAAATTGTAACATTTCTACTTAGGAGCAAAAGTGTGAAATTCATTTTCACCTATAGAACTGGTCTGCATTTTTTTTCCAACATAAATCAATATAGAAATCAGTGCCAAACCTCTGTTTTGTATAACAGCCTATAGAACTAATATAAAATGATTTTTTAAAGAGACAAAATAACCTAAGACCTTAGGGAGTGCTATGTACAAAAAAACAAAAAACAACAAACCACAAGTTTAAAAAAATAAAAATCAACACAATGCAGGTCCCCGGATCAGAGATGTATGACTGGACAGAATGCCACAAGGCGCACTCAGCCTAAATATGGGAACTGTAGAGTAAAGAAACCCCAGAGCCAACACAAGAATACTGGTGAAGGCTGGGGAAAAAAAAACCCCACAAGGAAAACCAGGTGATACTACTCAGGTTAAAGCCTAGTTTGCAAGAGAAAATGGGAATAAAAGTGGGGGGGACAGACACTCCACAGAGACATCCAAAAATTTTGGAATGCAAAGTTAAAAACCCAGCCCATCATAGCTGAGTTTCTTAATAGCCCTTCTTTGCACAGGTCTGATTCAACTGTATCTCAATGTTTGATTACCCATTAGTGGGAGTTTTCAAAACAAAAAGCCCAGCAGAGTTCTGAAGGGGTTAAATTGGATCTAATCTTCACCTGACAATTTAGCAAAATAATTATTTTGGGATGAGTCCCCATGTGGGCACACTTATTCTGGAATAGGAATGCCTTCTAATTTAAAAGGCACTAGCAGTCTGGAGTAAGTGGTCGCATGGGGGCTTTTACAAAAACAACTATTCCAGAATAATTATTCCAAAATAGCTATTTTGGTCAACTTCAGTGTAGACAAGCCCTTAATTAATCCTTCCAGACGGTTCTCTCTGTTATTCTGAGAACTCCTGAAAATGAGAGATGAAAAACTTTAGGTAAAGTTAATGGTGTTAGACAATATTGACTTCCTGTGGTCCAGCAAATTCTCTGCTTCGGCACTCATCAGGTCCTGAGGACGCCACACTAGAGAGGTTCAACCTGTTACTGCCAAGGTTGAACCTCTCTAGTGTGGCACCCAACAGAGCTTGTGCCATCTCAGTAGGTGATATCTGTACCCTGACAAATGAACTCCTTTGCTGGCATATGTTGAATCTCCACTGTCAGGCCTTGCTGGTATAGCTGCACAGGCAGAGCTGTATCAGCAAATCCTTTGTAGCATAAACCAGCATTTCCAGGCTTTGTCAAATACCTAACAATGCTCACATCTGAAGTATCACCATTGTTATCTGAGTTACAAACAACTAAAATGAAAGAGGCAGTTGCCGCCTCAGTCACCGTTTGGATCACATTTTTGTCTTGTCTAGACTAGGACTTGAAGATGCAACATTAGCTCACAAATTCTAACTAGTTTGAAACCTAGTACCAACAAGGCATGTTGCCTTTAATATGAAGTTGAGTTAAAACCTAAAGCAAGAAAGAGTAAAGCTTGGGCTGAGTATCACACCAGAAAATTTTTCCTCTGTTTCCTAATGGAAGAGTGACCTCTTCAGACATATTTAAGGCAGGGAAGTAGCAGTTAAAAAAAAAAAAAAAAAACCACAGAGGTATAGAACAATTGTTTTTAAGTAAGGAAATCCAGGAGGTCATCTAGGTTTTCTTTTCCTCTCCTTTCTAAAACCTAGAATTCCAATGAAATCAATGCATTGGACCCAAGATTCAATGAGTTAGGAGGCTCATGGTGAATGTTCCTATAGTTTGAACAACGAGGAGTCCTGTGGCACCTTAAAGACTAACAGATTTATTTGGGCATAAGCTTGTGTGTGTAAAAAACACTTTGTCAGATGAATGGTTTTGCAGATACAGACCACCATGTATCTGAGACCTCTGAGACCTGTAGTTTAAGCTAAACTGTTAAAAATGCCATTCCTTCAGCTTTTATTAGGCATTTTGTTTTCATCAAATGAGCAAACTTTTAACAGCACTGTACAACTAAATGAATGCCAACCAACATGCTTCATTTTGCATAGAGCTGCACTCAATCCTGCGAATACCTGATCTAATAGCTTTTCAGCTATCTAGATCCTGAGAAAAGCTCAAAGCATTGCTTTGGACAATTTATTTTCTTGCTAAAAGAGTGGTGATTGCTCAAATATAAAAGCAGAAGATGTGAAGGCAAAGTATAAGATACGGAGACCTATTTAAGGGCTTTTGAAACACCTGACCTATCATATTAAAAATTAATGCTCTAGTGGTCTCCATTTGAATGTACAATTTCACACGTGTTAAGATGGCAACTATCTTTCCCATTTTAACTGGAGCCATATCAAACCTGATTAACTGCAAATGAAGTCTGTAGCAGTCTTTTTATTTCTTTCAGTATGACTTAGATTGGGGCTCAGGAAGGAAGGGGAAATGTCTCCCAAAACTGTTAGTACCCAAAACAAACTCCTATTTCTAGGACAAACGAGAAGCAACAGAAGACTCCACAAAGTCGTGCCGTGAAAGAAGGGGATTGAACTTGATGACCTCTCAAGATCCCTTCCAGTTCTAGTATTTTATGAAAGTCAACTAAGGAACATGTAAATTTTAACTTACCCAAGAATAATGTAATTTACCAATCTTAGAAAACTGTAAAATTGACTCGTGAGTTGTCTCCATTGTAGCAACAACTTACTGAAACCAATGGGTCTACTCTCATGAATAAAGTTATGCACAGGCTTACAAGTCTGCAGAATTGGAACCACTGATGCGTCAGTGACAGGCGACAGACATCCTAATATAAATCTATAGCACGTATACTGTACTTTTACTGAAAAACTGAATTCTGATTATCAAAAACAGAAATTTGTTTTGCCATCCAGAGTCTGTATTCAACCATACATGTAAAGTTATAAAATCCATTTGAAAAAAAAAATCAAGTCAATAAAATAATTCATGTTTTATAAATATACCATACCTGAAATCATCCAGTGTTTCCTGTATCATATTCTGAATGAAATGAATCTGAACTGATGTCAAAGGTGCATTTGGTCTATTACTTCCAATAGTGTCTACTATTTTTTCAGATAATGAATTAGCAACTCCCACAGTGACAGAGGAAGTTATCTTCGGACCTACAGAAGATAAAACAAGAGTATTAGAGCGTATCTGGAGAAAGAAAGAGAAAACTTCTGTTACTTTATAAAGCCTCTATCTTGAGAGATGGATCACAAACTAAGTGAGTCAACAAAGCTAACATTCTGGGAGGTATCAGAAGGAGTAAGATAAGGAAGACTTGAGAAGTTGTTCTTTCACTCAGCACAGATACTCAGCAACGGCCTCAACTGAAGTTGTGTGTCCAGTTCTGGGCATTACGCTTAAGTCCAGAGGAAGGCAACAAAAGTGAGCAAATGTCTAGAAAACATGACCTATGAGGAAAGACCCCCCCCAAAAAAAACAAAAAAACAAAAAACCCAAATCCTGTGTAGTCTGGGGAAGAGACTGGGGGAGGGGAGAAGTGGGGACATCACAGTCTTTAAGCACTGGAAATTGGTTATAAAGAGGAGGGTGACAAATTGTTCTCTTTATCTACTAAGAACAGGACAAAAAGTAAGGGGCTTTAATTACAGCAAGGGAGATTTACGTTAAACATTCGGAAAGCTTTCTGTCAGTGCTGGTAAATACTGGAACATTTACCCAAGGAGGCTGTGTAATCTCCACCACAGGAAGTTTTTAGGAAGAGGTTAGACAGAAACACCCATCACTGATGGCCCAGATAATACTTAGTCCTGTCTCTGTACTTAGGTTGCTAATGGTATCGGAAGGTCTCTTGAAGAATTCACAAAAGCACCCATGAAATTGAATGCGGAGAATACCCCGAGGACCCCAATACACCATGGGGTTACAAGGAGTAAGGGAAGTCTTTGGGAAAGTTTCTCCCATCGAAGTCCTACAGTGGGGCCGACCCAGAAATTTAATTTAAGGTACACTGACTCCAACTATGCAATTCCTGTATCTGGATTAGGGATGTTCAAATTAATCAACTAATCGAACAGTTGATGGAATTTCTACCAATTATTCGATTAGGCGATAAGGGCACTTCTGCTTTGAAATGTAGCAAGAGACCACCCAGCTGGTGCCACATTTCAATGGTGGAAGTGTCACACGCCACTTTGAAATGTACATGAGCCCTGCTGGCCACAGGCTCCAAGCGGTGATTCCACTTTGAAACGTACAAGAGCCCCGGAGGGGACTCTTGTACATTTCAAAGTTGGAAAGCCAACGGCTGCACCCCTGCCCCCTCCCATGGAGCTTTTAAGCTGGGTTCCCTTAGCACCCCTGCATCCCTCTCTCCCACTGCCTCTTTCTAACAGAGACAGGGGGATTGTGTGGGAAGCGACTAATTGACTATCCAATAAGCTTTGTTTACATATCTAATCTGGAGTTGCTTATCTTAAAATCAATTTTTTTCCCCAGTGTAGACCTGGTCTACAAGTTCCTGACTTTGAAATGTGAATAGACCAAAATGCAAGAGGGAACTTTAAGTGTATAGCAGCAGGGTCCACACAGGGACACAATGTTTGGCAGGTTAGATTTACAACCAAGCTTGCCACAAACTAAGTGTTCATAGAGACAAGCCCTTAAACGCTTTTGCATATTTTATCCTATACCTAAGCTACTCTAGTTATACTCATCATACTGTCAAAAAGATCCACACACAGCTATTTGCCCTTTAATTCCATTTTAATGCTAAAGTCACTTCTGTAACATTTGCCACATCAGGTATCCTAACACACAGTAACCAGATACAAACTCAGACAACTACCACAGACTTACCTGCTGAGGTAGTACCATTTACTGGTGAATCGGACATCAAGAGTGCCTGAATATTCTTCCCTAGCCTCTCATTTGCTTCTGGAGACTTGATTACAATGGGCAAAGGTGAAGTATTTGAATTTCCAGACTCAGCGCTCGATGAGCTCAATTTTGAAAGCTTGTAAGTCAAATTAAAAACAGCAGTAATTGTAACACTTCAGTTGCATTTAATAATGGTTTATGTTTTAACATCTACATTGCCTCTTATGTATTTTTGCTTTTGGAAAGCTGAAACAAATAGGTCTAGCTAGAAAAGAATAATTCCATTACTCCCAAAAATGCTGACAGTTTGGAATTTGCTTTTGTTCCACATTAGAAGAAAACTGAGACCTTTGACATTTTTCACAGAAATGAGAATATCAGTCCTAGAATACCCATTAGTTTAGTGGCTAGGGAACTCCTTTGGGATGTGGAACACCTGCTTCAAATCAGGAGTGCCCTACACATCAGGCTACACAGATAAGTTCTCTTTCTGAAATGTTCCTAACATTTTAGAGGGGAAAAATAGTTTGCTGAGTTGCCATTTTTAACAAAAAAGTGTTTAAAAAAAATCTGACGAACTAACGACAATACAAACCAAAATGTAAATAAAATATTTTACAGCATATCCTTGAAGATGACCTCAAAATTTATAATGCTAAAACCTAGTATCTATCTGCAGATGTAGACGAAAACAGATACTATTAATGTTTAATGCAGTATTTTCCTCTCATCAGGAAAAAAAAATCCAGTAAACGAATTACTACTCTCTCAGAAAGATCTGGCCAGTAGCACAGCCATATGTTCTAGCAAGGCTTTTACAAGTCCCACATGAGCCATAACTGGAGAAAAACAGGGTATCAGAAACATAGGAAAAGCCAAAAGAGCCTTCAGCCTCAATAGGGTCATGGGAGATAGTTTGATCACATAAGGCACGTCTAAACTACATTCCTCTTTTTCGAAAGAGGAATGTAAATGAAGCAAATCGAAAGTGCAAATGAAGTGCAGATTTAAATGTCTAGATGGGGTTCTTTCAGGGAAAAAAACCACCCCCTTTTCAGAAGAACCCATACTCCTCATTTTTTTTCCAGGAGTAAGGGTTCTTTCAAAAAAGGGTTTTTTCCTCCCCGAAAGAACCCCCTCTAGACTGCGCTTTCACGTTCAAAAAAGCTCTCCAACACGAGTATGCAAATGAAGCATGGGATACTAAAATCCACGCTTCATTTGCACTCCTCTTTCGACAGAGGAATGTAGTCTAGACATAGCCACAGTTCTTAGGCTCATATGTTTATTCTTCCTAGGATGGTGCTTAGGCCTCTGGCACTGAAGATCACTCCGTTTTTCCTGCCTTTGTTCACGAAGGTATGCCAGAAACATCCTCAGACAGAGAACCTGCTTGAAACTCAGAAGATTGTGCCCAAAAGTCTTGTGCTGCAACAGATCTTCCCAGAGCTAAGGAAAACCCCAACATTGAGGGGGGAACTTGCCATGGCTTGCTCCAGTGAATGAAAATATCCTGGCTAAGTGCTAAGGTGCTGCATTAGTACCACATCTCTCTCATCTGGATCTAGCACTGACTAACGACCCATAACAACAACAAATTCTTGAGAAACTCATATTGCTCAAGACCAAGATTTTTCTGTGAATCACTTTTGAGAAAAGTCAGACATTTAAAGAGATCAAGAATCTGAATAGTCTAAACTGGAGTACGATAGAAATACTATAGAGTTATTGTGACATCTAAGATCTGTTTTGCAGCACTTTTAATAAATAGTGCCTGGAATAATTTTTGACAAATCTGCATCAGCAAAAAGTACTTATTGCAGTATTTAAGGCAAAAGGCAGACACTTAAAAATAACAAAACCACTCAGAGGAATTAGTGTAGAATACCTGTTTAAAGGGTTCTCTGGACTCTTGTTTTCCAGTATTTATTTTTGTAGCTTCAGCATCTTGATTTGGATGCTCACCTTCTTCTTTAATAGGAGAGCCCACAAATGCATGTAATGGGCTAGAACGTGTCCCTTGCATGCACACACTCACTGTGTTACTTTTTACAGGAAATACAGTGTTTAATTGGGGAAGAAAATCCAAACCAGAAAAGTAGGGGAGGAAATCCAAACCTGAAAGAGAAAAACAAATCATAGAATCATAGGACTGGAAAGGACCTCAAGAAGTCATCAATTCCAGTCTCCTGCCCTCGCAGTAGGACCAAGCAGTATCTAGATCAGCCAATGCCAAGGGCTGCAACTTAAGTGTGGTTGCATATACATGCAAATATATATGCAAATATATGCAAATAGCTTCTTTAACACTGACAGGCATGAATCAAAGAATTAAGGCAAGACTACACAACACTGCAACAACATGCTATACTCCAGGGGAAGGCATGTCACCCTTGGGTTAACAAAACAGGCAAAATATATTAAAGGTTGCCTTTTGCAACTAATCTGACACCAGAAATATCACAGAAATATGCAACCTAGACAACCCATAGAAGGGATACAAGAAAGCTCTGAATTACTACAGGTAGTCTGAGAATAGAATTAGTCAGTGATAGGTAGAAGGAAAGTGACATGTATCCACCTGTTAGTAACATCTGGGAAGAGAAACAGCTTTAAAATAACAAATGGGTTGAGTAGCCCTGGCCTAGGTCATCCCTGACAGATGTCTGTCTAACTTGCTCTTAAATATCTCCAGTGATGAAGATTCCACAACCCTCCCTCCCCCCAGGCAATTTATTCCAGTGTTTAACTACCCTGATAGTTAGGAAGTTTTTCCTAATGTCCAACCTAAACCTCCCTTGCTGCAACTTAAGCCCATTGCTTCTTGTCTTATCCTCAGAGGCCAAGGAAAACAATTTTTCTCCCTCCTCCTTGTAACACCCTTTTAGGTACTTGAAAACCAATATCGGTTCTTCTCTCAGTCTTCTCTTTTCTAAACTAAACAAGCCCAATTCTTTCAGTATTCCCTCACAGGTCAGGTTTTCTAGACCTTTAATCATTTGGTTGCTCTTCTCTGGACCTTCTCCAATTTCTCCACATCTTGCTTGAAATGTGGTGCCAGAACTGGACCCAATATTTCAACTGAGGCCTAATCAGCACGAGTAGAATGGAAGAATGACTTCTCGTGTCTTGCTCCAACACTCCTGTTAATACATCCCAGAATCATATTTGCTTTTTTTTGCAAGCATCATACTGTTGACTCATTTAACTTGTTGTTCACTATGACCCCTAAATCTCTTTCAGCAGTACTCCTTCCTAGACAGTCACTTCCCATTTTGTATGTGTGAAATGGATTTGGAGTACTTTGCATTTGTCCTTATTAAATTTCATCCTGTTTACCTCAGATCATTTCTCTAGTTTGTCCAGATCATTTTGAATTTTGACCCTATCCTCCAAAGCACTTGACCCCTACAAGTTTGGCATCATTTGCAAACTTAATAATTGTACTCTCTATGCCATTATCTAAATCACTGATGAAGATATTCAATAGAACCAGTCCCAAAACAGGCCCTGCAGAATTCCACTTATTATGCCCTTCCAGCATGACTGCGAACCATTAATAACTACTCTCTGAGAATGGTTATCCAGACAGTTATGCACCCGTCTTATAGTAGATTTTCTATAGTACAGAAAATCTTTTCTGGCTTATATTGATGAATGCTTCAGAACAAAAACAAACAAACATGGAGAGCAAACCTACAACCTGCACTGTGGATTACCTACAGGCATGCTTTTGTTAAAACAATTATGATTTGCTGTTACACAGCACACCAAACATTATGCATATTGGACCCAGACATTATTGCATCAATTTTATACCAGTGCAGTGGAGGATTTGGTTTCAATGGAATCACATCAGCATAAAGCGGACGTAATAACCTGGCTAACCAGGCTTTTCTCTGTTTTTTAAAACCGTAGTAGAAATGCACTGCCAAAGCACTTACCATCTCCTTTTCCTGGAAGCTCGTCATTTGTTTTGTAAACTGCAACATCTACATATTGAGAAAAATAAATAAAGGTAGACTTAAAATGTGTGCAAGATTCCATCTGTGTCAATATTCTACAACAATACATTAGTTTAATAATAAGCAATTCACTCCACTTTGAAACAGGAATAGTTTCTATATTCTGAACTCTTGCTTCTGCACTGAGATCTGCTAGCATGAATTCTTGCACTCACATGGAAAGGCTTATGCAGATACAAAACATGTATCAGGATCCAACTCACAAAAAGCAGATATTTGCAGATGTGCAAGTCTCTAGATACAAAATCTGAAACTGCATCCAATCTGCAATCCCCAAAAATGGTCTGAGGCTATCTGCAGTTTTGTAAGACTGCATGTAAGTGCAGCGGTCCACATTAGTGCATGTGTTTATAGCGTCAGGGCCCAAATGTGAAAGCAGACTTACCCTCAACATAAGCGCCTAGAACTTAATACAAATAATGCTTCTGATTATTTTCTTATTGATTTGTCTCCTGGTAGTTTGAGCATCATGTTAGTCTCTCTCACACTTTTGTTTCTAAAAGGTTTTAAAAATACATATTATAGAGAAAGAGTTTGGGGTGCAACCAGGATCCCAGGATTGGGGGAAAATTTGTATCTGTACTATGCACCACAGGCCCATCTCAGACGGTAAGTATGTATTTCAATGACCACCATTGCAGTATTTTTTGCACCACAGGCCCATTTCAATGACCACCATTGCAGTATTTTCATTGACACATATTTTCTTGGAATCAAATCGTACATTTTTTTAAAATGCTCTGATGAAAGTTTGTCATCTGCCTACTTTAAAAACAAAACCAAACAAAACAAAACATACTTTCCAAAGCCTGCAAAAATATAGGATCCTGTGCAATATGTACAAAACCAAAAGAAAACAAAACACACTTTCCAAAGCCTGCAAAAATATAGGATCCTGTGCAATATGTACAAAACCAAAAGCATTAAGCTCTCTAAACCTTGTTGTAAGGAGAAAACTATACAAAATAATGCCACCTAGACCACACAAGAAGATCTCATCTCCATTTTATCTAAAGTTGCAAGTTTTAATATTAACAACTTACCATCTCTGACTGGAGAGAACATGTCACCTAAACTATCTCGTCCAAGATCATTAAAGTTAGTCATATCAGCATTCTTCCCATGATCTGTTTCTTTAGACAGAATTATATCCATGCTGCCACTGCGAGGAAAAGCTTCGGATAACAAAAACAGTCTATTAAGTATTTACTGTTTCATTGCATCACATAAGAGATTCTGTTTGCTTTACAGAATCTCTAATTGATCATTAATCCCAGCAGAATCCCTAATAAACAGCAAAACAAAGTTTGCTATATTTTTATTGTACCATACCAGTTCTAATTAGAAAACCAGCTCTGATAGCTTGGCTTGTACATCCCTCCATAAGAGATAGTTACCAGTCATACACATGAAAGAAAAAAATATAGGCTGACATTTTCCTTTTATACGAAGAGTCTTATTAATAGACACAAATTTTCAAGCTAAGTTTTACAGGCAACACTATGAAATATATTGTTTACTTGATGTAGTCAAAGCAAATTCAAGACAAATGGAAATTAGTAAAAACAAAACAAAACCCAACGCCACCAGGTGGGCAGGATGGAAGAAGCCAAGCAGGATTCAAAGCCTCCAGCTCCTGCAGGGAGAAGCCAGTGGGTGGGGTGCATGCCCTACCACTCCGGGGAGAAGTCAGTGGCCCGGGTGCATGGGCGCCCTCTGCTACAGGCCAGCCCAAGGAAGAAGCTAGTAGGCAGGGTATGCATCCTTCCCCCACACTGGGCCAGCTCCAGGGAGAAGCCAGTGACCAGCGTTCCCTTTCTATCCTTAGGCAGGTTGAAATTTCTCATGTGCATCATAAGTATTTAGGTAGTGTACGGATGTGCACCACCAGTACAAACATAAATCATATAAATATTTTAAACAGTCTATAGGGGTGGAAGGAAATATATTAAAACAAGGGATAGTTAGTTAACAAGGAGCAATGCTTACGATGTTTATTTAATAGGAAATCAAATACAGAAAATTAACACTACCCTTGTAATACATGTATCATCATCCTAAAAACTCAAGTAGCTAATAAACACACCAAAATACATATTATTAATACATACCTTAGCTTTAAGATGCTAAACAAATCTATGAGTCAACAAGAAATAATCATGCTCTCCTTGCAAATACTAATAGTCCCCTTTCCAGGGTCAGTAACTATTGTATGTAGCCTTGTAATTTTGTAGGTAATAAGTTAGTTATAATGAAGGTGTTATAGCAAAAGTTTTGGATTAAACTTAAACACAAGATGTAGGCCTCAGACAGCCCAGGCAGCTTTGTTAACTTAGTTCCAGCTCTATTTCATGTTAGCATGTTCTGATGTTAAAGTGAAGGGATGAAATACTGTAATGCACTGTGATGTCAGTATTAGACAAAGCCTTGAAACAGACAGAAAGAAGTTTAATGTTGAAAGACTTTAAGAAAGTTACAAAGTTACTAGAAGTATCCTTTTGTCCCATGTTGCAATTGTGTAAATGAGAGAAAAGTACAAAGGCCACTGCATACCCAAATGGTTAGAGAAGGGGCCGGAGACTCAGAAGCACCAAATAATTATCAACTAAGTGAAAGCACACTGAAGACACAGAGTACCAGCAGATTGATGAACCCTGAAGTTAATGGCAAGCACCACTTGTTAGAGAACTGATAACAGGTTTTGCCAGAAGACAACACCCAAGAGGGGTTGTCAACATACTGATATCAGATGACTTTTCTTCAAATAGTATTCTAACGTATGCTGCATTTCAGGCAAATCCCAAGCAGTATCCCGTTATAAAGATGGATGTAACACTGAAGACTCCATTGCCAGCCACAGCATCTGCTTTAGAAGAGTTAATTAGAATGTTTGGATAAAAGGTATATGTTGAAGTCCAGATTATGGCTTTGAAACATCAATGACTAGAATTTGGTTAAATGAAGGCCACAGAAGTAGACTGGAACCTTGTAGAGTGGGCTACCATTCTAGGAGAATGAACTTTGAGAGTCTTCTAATCTATTAGAGTTCTTTGAAGGGGTCAACAAGCATGTGGATAAGGGGGATCCAGTAGATATAGTGTACTTAGATTTCCAGAAAGCCTTTGACAAGGTCCCTCACCAAAGGCTCTTAATTTACCCAAGTTGTCATGGGATAAGAGGGAAGATCCTTTCATGGACTCAGAACTAGTTAAAAGACAGGAAACAGGGTAGGAATAAATGGTAAATTTTCAGAATGGAGAAGGGTAACTAGTGGTGTTCCCCAGGGTCAGTCCTAGGACCAATCCTATTCAACATATTCATAAATGATCTGGAGAAAGGGGTAAACAGTGAGGTGGCAAAGTTCGCAGATGATACTAAACTGCTCAAAGTAGTTAAGACCAAAGCAGACTGTGAAGAATTTCAAAAAGATTTCACAAAACTAAGAGACTGGGCAACAAAATGGCAAATCCACATTTATATGGATAAATGTAAAGTAATGCACATTGGAAAAAATAACCCCAACTATACATAGAATATGATGGGGGCTAATTTAGCTACAACTAATCAGGAAAGAGATCTTGGAGTCATCGTGGATAGTTCTCTGAAGACGTCCACGCAGAGTGCAGCGGCAGTCAAAAAAAGCAATCAGGATGTTAGGAATCATTAAAAAAGGGATAGGGAATAATGCGGAGAATATCTTATTGCCCTTATATAAATCCATGGTACGCCCACATCTTGAATACTGAGTACAGATATGATCTCATCTCAAAAAAAGATATACTGGCATTACAAAAGGTTCAGAGAAGGGCAACTAAAATGATTAGGGGTTTGGAACGGGTCCCATATGAGGAGAGATTAAAGAGACTCAGACTTTTCGGCTTAAAAAAGAGGAGACTAAGGGGAGATATGATAGAGGTCTTTAAAATCATGAATGGTGTGGAGAAAGTGAATAAGGAAAAGTTACTTACTAGTTCCCATAATATAAGAACTAGGGGCTACCAAATGAAACTAACGGGCAGCAGGTTTAAAACAAATAAAAGGAAGTTCTTCTTCACACAGTGCATAGTCAATCAGTGGAATTCCTTGCCTGAGGAGGTTGTGAAGGCTAGGACTTTAACAGGTTTAAAAGAGAACTAGGTAAGTTCATGGAGGTTAAGTCCATTAATGGCTTTTAGCCAGTATGGGTAAGGAATAGTGTCCCTAGCTTCTGTTTGTCAGAGGGTGGAGATGGATGGCAGGAGAGAGATTGCTTGATCATTACCTGTTTGATTCACTCCCTCTGGGACATGTGGCATTGGCCACTGTCAGGAGACAGGGTACTGGGCTGGATGGACCTTTGGTATGACCCAGTATGGCCATTCTTATGTTCAGAATGAATTATGTCTTGTTATGACAAAGTAATTGCAGATATTTGAATCTGTCAATGAATTCACACAAAGAGTCCAGGAGACTTCATGAAATGCTTGGTTCTATCTAAATAGAAGTCCACTTTGCTGGCATCTAGAGAATGTAAGACCATTTCCTTTCTGGTCTGGTTTTCTTTCAAATGCCAGGTAAAAATCTGATTAACATGGAATTCAGAAGAAACTTCAGGTAGAAGTCTAGAATGTAGTTGCAATGAAACTTTGTCCTTGAAGAACATGGTAAGTGGAGAGGATGTCTTCAGAACCCCCATTTTTCCAACGCTACCAGCAGAAGTGAGGTCTACCAGGAAGGCTGAGTTCTTAGGTGGAATGGTGAACAGATACAGTAGTCAGAAAAAGTACAAAAGGCAGCTTCTTAAGATAGTACAGGACCAAGTTTCCATCCCATATTGGGATGGGTTCCTTAATCTACAGAAAAAGATTCAGCAGAGGAATCCTTTGAGGAATCTTTTTGTGAAGTGAACAAAACATGAAAAACCCTCCAATGATAAATGAAAGGATGTCATAGCCACAAAGTAAACCTTGAAGGAACCATGACAAGATCTGATTTATTTTTTAATTCCAACAGGTAGTCAAGAACAGAGGAAAGAAAAGAAAAAAAAAACAGATTGGGCAGACCCACCAATAGTGAAATCTCTTCCCACTTCTAAAGATAAGCAGTTTTCATATGTCTTTCTGCTGTACTTCCTACATGTAATACTGGGTAAGTGTATACTATTCTACCTACTAGCTTTACTTTCACCAAAACCCAAAAGAGTATCCATTAAAAAAAACTTAAGCACAGGTTTCTTGGCTCATATAGAAGAAAATATATAGTTTTATAGCATTACCCAGATGCCAATTTCGATTATGTACTCTTTAAAAACTATTACTTTTTTATGATTGGTCTTGTTTGTATGCTAGGAATCAATTAAATATTTAAATAGAAAAGATGAATGCTTTTAATAATAAGTGAATGTGAGGACTCTCCAGACAATGCAGTAATGTTGATTAGTGACACTTCTTCAGTACACAGGAAGCTTTCTACTTCACCTCATGCCTCACTGAATACTCAAGCGGGTTAATTAATCAGCGTCCCTATAGACTGCAATGCCTTATTGCTTAATAAAATGTTGTTAAACATACTTTTACTTATTTAAAAAGGAAAGTTTAACTGTATAAAAATACTTTTAATGAAGTGTCATCGGAGCTTTAAAAACCCAACTTGCTCAACAGACTTGAAACTATATTTTCAGGGCTGGCTTTGCTGAAGTTATACAGAGCAGTGTCATTTACTTCCATGAAGAGTATGATTCAGAAGTCCTACAAACCAGTTGCTAATTGGAAGATGCTAAATAAACACAGCATTTCTCTTTCAAAGCAGTGTACAATGTTAAAATACAACAAGGGCATATCTATTAACTACTTTTGTGGTAAGCTTCATCTTAAAAGAAAAAAAAATGTAAAGAATTTCCTGCATCTCTAAAAGCTAATGGTAAGTACTTCTCTCAGCCAAAGGACATGCCTGAGGCATAAACTCAGAGGAAGGAAGAAACACTGCATGTACTATGGCAGCAAGATGACTTTGAACTGCCTAACGCTATTCATGCAAAAAAGTTTAAAAAAAAAATTAAGCATGTGTAGAATTTTTTTTATTGTGGTTACCTTCAGACATTTAAAAAAAAAAAAAAAAAAACAACATGTGGATTCTTGAGAAAAAGGCAAAGATCACCAGATGTTCCTGGGAGACATAACTAAACTAACTCAACTCTCATCCTGTATTGCCCAGCTATCTTTCTAGTAAGAGCCAGAGGAAGGAGGAGAGAAAAACAATTTAGCTCACATCAGAAAAAGTTCTAAAAATATCATGAATGGCATTGAAAAGTGGATAAGAAAATGCTTTTTGTTTGTTTTTTTTACCCCTTCACATAACACAAGAACTAGGGGTCAACCAATGAAATAAATAGGCAGTGGATTTAAAACCAACATAAGGAAGTACTTTCACACAAAGTCAGGGATGTTGTGAAGACAAAAAGTAAAAGTGAGTTCAAAAAATGAATCAGGTAAGTTCATGGAAGTTAAGTCCATCAATGGCTATTTGCCAAGATGATCAGTGACCCAACTCCATGCTCTGCATGTCCCTATACCACTCGCTGCCAGAAGCTGGGAGGAGTGGGAACATTTGATAACTGCCCTAGCTATTCCCTGTGAATCATCTGGCACCAGCCACTGATGGAAGACCGGATACTAGATTAGATGGACTATTAGGTTGGCCCAGTCTGATCGTTATGATGTATTTATAATTTCATGCGGACCCCAAATAGTCTACTGGTACATCTAAATTTTTTATCACAATACAAAATGGACTGTGATGGTCTACTATTATGGTCATCACGTTTACAAGACTCTGGTAAATTTTGCACAAAGCATGACCTGTGATACATCCTTTGAAAAGTCAATATACTGACTATTAAAATGTGTGTGGCAACACCATATGCAAAGTTATAAGATTCTGCAGTATGCTTATCACTGAAACAGATTTTAATTCTGGGTAACATCCATAAACCAGTTTTTCAAGATACAAAGACATACTATCACCCTAAACAAGAGTTAAATGGTTATTGCCTTCTTAAAAAATCATCCTCCAGAAGGAAGGCAGGAGAGATATAAACAACTAATTTAAATTTCATCCCAGGGCTTATTCAAACCTCATGTCCACAAAAGACTGAGTGTCACCAAGACTCTCATATGTTTCCAGCAGAAGATACTGAATTCAAAAGAGCCAAGAAACTTGACTTCACCTCTTCTCCTTGTATCTCTCTGTTCATGACATCAACAACTCCCAAAAGAAATCAGCTAAGAGTGAGTTGTCTCAGGTTGAAGGGAGATCAGCCTATGCTGCAGTAAATTTCAAAATCGGAGACAAAATCTTTGATTTTAAATTCACTTAGCTTTTTAAGTTAGGTATTAGCTTGTATATTATTCATTTTCTTTTGTAACCAATCCTGACTTTCATCACTTAATCTTTTTCGGTTATAAACTTAAATTATTGCTTTATCTTAACAGGTGTGTTTGGTTTAAAGTCTGCGGGAGACTCCATTTGGAATAACAAAACTGGTGTGTATAGCATTTTCCTTTGAGGAATGATGGATTTATGAGTCTGCATTGTTCAGTAATGTGCTGGACAATACAAAGCACATATTTCTAGTGAGGTACAAGGCTAGGACTAAACTTGTGGGTATTACCCTGTATATAATTCATGGGTGACTTGTCAGCATGTCCATGTATATATCTAGAAATGAATTTGCATGTCAAAGGCTTTGTGAACAAGTGGATGTTCAGACAGCAAAACAGTGTAAAAGACAACCCAGACTAGAGACTTAAGGAGACACAGGTGACTTATTCAGTTCCTTCAGCTATTCTATCATAAGCACACGCAGTTTCAGGATGCAAGGCTTATACAAAGGTGATTAAATTGTGGCTGCTACCAACCTTATGGAGAAACAAAATACCCTCATATCTGTAAAACTGTGTGTTTGTCTAGACAGTTATGTGCAGCAAGCTACGGTCTATATTAGGGATGTAAAAGTGTAATCAATTAACTGGATTAACCAAAAAGCAAAAGTTTACAGGTTAATTCTATAGACTACATTTAATCCCCCTCCCACTTGCCAGTAAATTTTTTAGCAGGCTGGCCAGCAGCCCAACTAAGTCTTGGCTTGTGAGGGGTCTGGGACCCACCCCACCGTAGCTCTGCATTTAAAGTGTATTAGGAACTGGGTGGGCAGGCAGCCCAGCTCAGTTCTGACTCGTGCCAGGTGTGGGAGCTCAGACCACACCCTTGACAGAGGCTGCTGCCATCCCACAGCACTGCCTCTTTATCAGAGGCAGCAGCAGAGGGCGACAGGCAGTGGTACGTGAGGGGAGCTGGTGTTTGAACTGGCTCCCTTGGTGGACCAGTTCCCATCTGGCACCCCATGCTGCTGCCTCTGATACAGAGGCAGCAGCACAGAGTGGCAAGAGTCTTCTCAGGAGTAAAACTAACCTATAAGAATAGTCAACTAACCTATAAGAATTTGTGAGGTTACTCAACTATTCAATTAACTGATCTTTAACATCCCTAGTCTATATCTATCTCTAATTGTCCACATGGACCCTAGTGCTGTGCATTAAAAATTCCCTGGCTTGTTTTGATCTATTCTTGTTTCAAAGCACAACAGTGAACTTTTAGTCAGCAGCAAGGTCCACACAGACAGTGAGAGGTAGATTTACAACCCAGCTTGCCATGCACTGTTAGTCTAGACAAGACTTTAGTAAGCTAGAAATTTTGACATTCTTTTGTTTTTGGGTTTGATACTGCCTGTATTACTAACAACATCAGTGAGCAAAATGGTCCTTTCCTGTATCCAGCTAAATATTACAAACCCCTATGTTAAAAAGAAAATTAAAGTTGTTTAGTCAAACACTGAAAAATTACAAAATATTAGACTTAATATTGCCCCTGGGGCTGAATTTAGCCATCTTGTGTGTATGCAATAGGATACAGCCTTTAATTAACATTATCTCACACTAGTTTTCTTCCACAGGAGGCCTGTCTCAGTGCAGAGAATGGACCTGGCTTGGCACTGAATTAAAGTTATCTAACAACTAGGCTGCTGTCAGTCAATACCTTCCTGATTTGTTGCAATTATTTGAAGACATGTGGTGAATGACACAGGGAACTGCAAGAAGAGAAAAATGCAGTCTCATAGTTAAGATGGTTGACTCCAATTACACACACACACACACACACACACAATATTTCACAGTGTCATAATGACTATCTTTCATACTACAAGGCTGGCCAAAGCCCATAAAGTATCTTCCCCCACAACTCAGATAATTTCCACTCCTTAAAACAGACTTCTTACTTGTTTTGTCCTGAGCATCTGCTCCTTTGTTCTCAATTGATGAGATGGGCTGGGATGAAACTGTAGTTGGTGTGTTGGAAGTAAGATTTTTGATTATGGCAGTATTCTGAATTCCTCCAACATTACTACTTGCTTTAACATCTGTTCTTTTGGATGCTGGTTTATTTGAAGAACATTTATTAAAGCTAGACTGAAGAGAAACAGCAAATGTAAGATGTTATTAGTGCTCCAATTTAAAGGGAAAAAACTCTTTCTTCCTGTTCAAAATAGAGACATTTCATAAAATGTTTAAATTGCAATAAATTGATCTAAACAAATATAATGCGTCAGTTTCTGATTACAAGCAGGGACTCTAAGGTGTTAAAGCCTACGTGGGAGAGTTCTGCATTATTTCTATGAATGTTATATGTGCCTCATTTTACTTTATTGAGATCACTCTGTTTGACTGCATGGAGTTAAATCATAGGAGGCTGTTAGTGGGAAACAAACAGGAAATGGCACAATGGCAGAGGTAAGACACTTCCAAAGAGAATACTGAGGGTACTTAAGGGAACCATAGAGGAGCCATTTAATAAAGAAAAGCTCCTGGCCTGGTTCCGACTAAGTTGCAGGTTTATTTTCTTAAGACCAGGCTCAAAAGGAACACAAAACCATGAAAGATCCCAGGAGAGAGGACAGTCAGGTGTGAGTGCACAACAGAAGATAAGTTCTGGACTGAGGTACTAGGAAAATTTTGCAAGGGCTGACTGTCTCTGTCAGGTCAAGAGCAGAGATATTTGGCTTAAGTAAAACTACTGCTGCGGTCAAAAAGGCAAATAGGATGTTAGGAATTATTAAGAAAGGATAGAAAATATGACACAGAATATCTTACTGCCCCTGTATAAAACTATGGTACGCCCACATCTTGAGTACTGTGTACAGATGTGGTCTCCTCACCTCAAAAAAGATATTTTGGCCTTGGAAAGGGTTCAGAAAAGGGCAACTAAAATGATTAGGGGTTTGGAACAGGTTCCATATGAGGAGAGGCTAAAGCGACTGGGACTTTTCAGTTTGGAAAAGAGGAGAATATGATATGAGAGGGGATATGATAGAGGTATATCAAATCATGAGTGGTGTGGAGAGGGTGAATAAAAAAAAAGTTATTCATTCCCATAATATAAGGACTAGAGGACACCAAATGAAATTAATGGATAGCAGGGTTAAAACTAATAAGCAAAAGTTCTTCTTCACACAGCGCATACTCAACCTGGGGATCTCCTTGCCAGAGGAGGCTGTGAAGGCTAGAACTATAACAGAGTTTAAAGAGAAGCTAGATAAATTAATGGAGGTTAGGTCCATAAAGGGCTATTAGCCAAAGGGTAGGAATAGTGTCCCTAGCCTCTGTTTGTCAGGAGCTAGAGATGGATGGCACGAGACAAATCGCTTGATCATTGTCTTCGGTCCACCCCCTCCGGGGCACCTGGCGCTGGCCACTGTTGGCAGCCAGGCTACTGGGCTAGATGAACCTTTGGTCTGACCCAGTACGACCATTCTATGTTCTTATTCAATACTTGCAAAGAGCAAATCAAGTTTCAATTGGATTCATAAATCTAGCCCTTCTCTGTTAGTTTACTTAATTTCTCAAATACACTGCTGCTGTTGAGTAATAAACAACATTTTGTTTGGTAAAATGTTGACTTGTATTGCTGCAAATATTTTCTGGCTATAGAGGTCCTCGGAGAGAAAACTTCTAACAGGGCTTGTTGAGCTTGCTTCCTGCAGAAGAGTCACAGTGAGAAACTGGGCTGCTGAAGCCTAGTTTAAGGGTGTAGTTATACTAGGAGGTGAGGGAGTGTGATTCCTAGGTCATCCTTACTAGGGAGATAAAAATTTCCAATGATGGAGATTCCATAAAGAGAAAGTTAGACAAACACTTTCCAGGGATAGTCTAGTTCAGGTATCAGCAAGAAGTGGCCTGGGGGCCAGATCAGGACCTCTAACGCTTTGATCTGGCCTGTGGACTGCATCTTGCTGCTTTCTATTTATATCCTGCCACACATTCCACTGAATGTCCAGGTGGTGGATCAGGTAGCAGGAACCTATTTAAATGGCTCATGGTTGTGGAGTTACTGCAGGAGCATCTGGAGCCACAAGTCCTTCAAATAGCCACAGCAATCTCAGGTGGCTTCCAGGCAATGGGGTCGTGGCAGGGCTAGGAGCTGTGAGTCCTTAGCTGTGTTTTTAATTCAAAGCTTTTGGCCCCAGACAACTCTGAGAGGAGGATAATCCCTAGCTCTGTCTATTCCGCCTTAGGCCCCACCCCTTCCAAGAGAAGAGTCATCCCATGACCATGTACCAAAATTCATGAAGTAGCCCACCTGCAAAAATTATTGACCACCTCTGGTCTAGATGGTGTTTGGTCCTAACATGAGTGCAGGCGACTGGACAACCATTTGAGGTCCCTTCCAGTCCTATGATTTTGTCTATGCATGAGATGGATTTAAGATCAAACTTGTTACACAAGACAACAAGCAAAAGATAGTAATTGTAGCAATCAGATTTTTTTACCTGAAATTGCTGAAACTGTACTTAAGAATGAGAAGAAAATTAAAACAAAGTGTATAATTAATGTTTGTTTTCCATAGTGTCACTTGCTGTGTTAACATATCTGATTCTCCATTATGTTCATGTCTATAATACGATGAAAGTTCAATCTACATATTTCTTTACAAGACTTCAAGTTATCAGTTTCCTTTTTATTAACAGAAGTACGAGTGACAAAGCAGCAAATGTTTTACCTTTGAACTAGTACTACTATACTGAAGGCGTATACATCTCACAGAGGTTTTGTGAGCACTGACAGTTTTTACCGGTGACGTCAGCTTTCTTAGATCATAATGGTAAATTTTTCCACGAGAAGAGCCAATAGCCAGAGTAGTGCCATCAGGCATAAAATCCACTGCTGTCAGAGGAGATTCAGCTACCAGAGTTCTCAGTAGCCTTGAGATAGGAGAAATATGGAAAGATGTTATAATTCATTATTTAAAAGACTTTTTAAGGCAGTATTTTTGTTTAACTAGACTTTCCAAACAGCACTGAAGAATTACAGCAAACTAGAACAAAGACCTATGTAATTCAATGGCAAAATCAACCATTTATCTGTACTTCTAGGGCAAAGGTGGGCAAATTACAGCCCACAGGCTGCATGCAGCTCCTCAAATCTTTTACCCCAGTATTCAAGCTCCCGTCAGCAAGAACAGTCAGGAGCTTGCTCTGTTCTTGTGCTCAAGCCAGGGTGTGGGAGCAAGAGCCTGCCTTGCTCAGCTCTGTGTATGCAGCAGCTCCGCATGGCTCCCAAAAGCAAGGGCAGCAAAGGGGCACCACACACGGACTGCAAGCCAAGTGCCGGTTTTACATCTCCCATTGGCAGGGTGACAGTAGGCACTGGGAATTTAGGAGTGGCACCTGAGAAAGGGGCAATGGGCAGAGCCACATGGGCCACCTCTGCATGTGAAGTGGAAGCAGGAGGGGCCGATGCTTCCAGGAACTGCTTCAATTAAGCACTACCTGGAACTTGCACCCCTGAACCATAACTGAGAGCCCCCTCCTGCCATCCAAACCCCTCAGTCTCAGCCTGGAGTACCCTCAAGCATCCAGAACTCCTCATTTTGGGCCCCACCACAGAGCCCAGCCAGAGCCCTCACCTCCAATGTTGTCAGTATTCATGGCCATTCATACAATTTCTATGCTGAGATGTGGTCTTCAGGCCAAAAAGTTTGCCCACCTCTGTTCTAAGGTCTAATCAAATACTACTTAAGTCAGTGGAGATGTACCTGTAGACTTCAGAGGGCATTTGATTAAGCTTTTAGCAATACTTGTACACTTACAAATTATCAGGATATACCCTAAAAAGGGATCTAACTGAAGTACAACCAGTTTTTCAAGAGCATTCGATCAAGAAGCTTTCATTCTTAATATGGTCTAACTTTACAACAAACACTAAAAGTTACAACTTTACAACAAACTTTACAACAAACACTAAAAGTTACAAAGAACTGAATGAAGTTCCCATACAATCCACTGATAAAAATGCTTACCAAAAGATACATAATCCTTACTTTTTACTTGAAGTGTCATAGAGAATGATCCTTTTATCCAAACCTATGGTTACAAGTAGCAACTCATTGACTGGAGAAAAACAGATTTCCGAGGCTGGAGCTTTGTGAGCATTTTCAAAATTATGGTATGGATTTTGACTATTTACATCCCACAGCGTTACAGTTCCACTGTCAGACACACTGCCCAGTAAAGACTTCTTAAAGGAAGAATATTTCAGGTGTCGAATAGGCTGTAAAATTAACCATACAATACAATTTGTATACAAAATTAAGGTTGAAGACAACTAACTCAATTAGCCCAACAAAGTCATCTTCATAGGATTGCAAAAGTTACAATAAGACAAGTCATCATTCAATAAAGAGTGTCAATGTTTCATAGACATAATGCTTCAGAGGAAAGTGGATAAAAACTAAAATACTCCCCAGGGGTGGGGCTTGCAGCCAGTGTGCTCCCAGCCTCACTCACAGGGAGCCCCCTGGTACCTCACACTGCTGCCTCTGTATCAGAAACAGCAGCACACGGTGGCAGATGGAGATGGTCTGAAATGTTGAGCTGGTTTAAAAAAAAACATCTCACCATGCAGACTGGCTCCTACCTGCCACACTGGATACAGAAGCAGTAGTGCAGGGCAGAAACAGCCCCTGTTCGCAGGAGCTCCTGCACTCCCCATGGACAGAGGCTGCTCTGCCATCCCACTTGCGTCTACTCTTCCCCCCCCCGCCCCGGGCTGCTACCTCTGTATCAGCTGGCTCCCCCGGAGAACCAGCCCCCTCCTGCCTGCCTCTGCTGGCTGTGTGGCAGGCAGCAGGCGTGGGGGGGAGGCGGGAGAGAGGGAAAGGAAACTCTGCAGGAACTAGCACGTGCCAAGAGCCAGCTCCTGCCTCTGCCTCCACAGTTGTCTCAGATACAGAGGCAGCAGGGTGGGAGGGAGGAGAGTGTTGCGTGTAGACATATGGATTAACCTAGGCTTATCAATTACAGGCAGTCCCCGGGTTATGTAAAAGATAGGGACCGTAGGTTTGTTCTTAAGTTGAATTTGTATGTAAGTCGGAACCGGTACATATTGTAGGGGAAACTCTAGCCAAACATTTCTCCAGAGCTCAGTTTTATTCTCCCACACCTCACTTCCCTCAGTCCTTTATTCTCAAGCTGAGGTGTCTGCTGAGAAAAGCTGCTCCACGTCTCCCTGATCTGCTGGGGGGGGGGAGGGGGCGCTAGCTTCGCGTCTCCCTGGTCTGCTGGGGAGAAGCAGCTAGTGCGGGGTTGCCTCACCCTGTTTGGAAGTAGGGATCCGATGTAAGTCGGGTCCATGTAACCCGGGGGCTGCCTGTAATCATTTAAATGACTATACACTAAATCCCTATTCCTTACCATGTTAACCTTTAACATCCCTAAAAGAAATACTGTAATTTTACTAATTGTTACCTTAACAAGAGGGTTAAACATTTTTAACTTCACCTCAGTGATCTGATGTAATTTGGTAAAAAATGATGAAGAGGAGAAGGAAGCTATAGCTAGCACCAGACATAGCATTTGTAATGTAGGAGAAGACTTGGTGGCTTATTTTTACCATTGATGCCCAATGACACAATGTGGGCAATATACATTAGTGAAAGTACAATAAATGAGGAAATTAAGATGACCAACGTGTATCATATTTGTATTTTAACTTTGCATGCAAAGTTCCTCGCCTCATAATGGATGTATAAATGCATGATTTTATGTCTGATCTGAAGTGACTGGTGAACGTGACCTCCACCAGCTTTCTGAGTACCACCTCTTCAAAATGTACAGAATAGGAATGTTAGATAGCGTGTAATTGAACAGTCACATAACCGCATCAAATTTTAGCAGTTATACAACTATTCAATAGCTCCCGGGGATGGGGCCAGCAGCCAGTGTGCTCCTGGCCCCACTCCTGGAGAACCCCCCTGCTACCCTGCGCTGCTGCCTCTCTATCAGAGGCAGCAGCATGGGGTGGCATGCAGGAACCAGTCAGCAAGGGGAGCCAGTTTAAATAACTGGCTTTCCATGCAGACCGGCTTCTACTTGCCACCCTATGCTACTGTCACTGTATCAGAGGCAGCAGCAGCCTCTGTCCCTGGGTAGTTTGGACCCCCAAGGACAGAGGCTGCTCTGTGGGATGCTGGAGCAACTTCTGTTTGCAGGGAGTTTAGACCACTTGCCGACAGAGGCTGCTTCACAGCAGCCTCCCCTGCCCCTGCCCCGGGGGAGAGGAAGGGAGAAAGCTGCACTGCAAAGCCAGTTACCCCCAGCACGGGCTCCTATATGTCTCCCCCGCCGCAGTAGGCAGACGGGTCCATGAAGCTATCTCCCAATACATATTGGCTCTCTCAACCTCCATGCTGCTGCCTCTCTCAGAGGTAACAGATGGGGAGGGGGAGGAGGAAGGGAGGGAGAGGCATATCTGGTGCTTGTGGGGAGCCTGCTTAAAGCTCCCACCTCCCCCACACCCACTACCTCGGATACAGAAGTAGCAGGAGGGGATGGGGGAAATGCATGTAGTCGACACAATTAACTGATAAGCTCAGGCTTATCAGTTAATCATGTTGTCATCTAACAAGCTGACATCTTCAGTAGAGAACTCACTTCATTCCTGCAAAGTCAGATGCCATTTTCTATTCAGATGCAAAAATATGTCTCTCTCAAGGAAACAAAGATTGGGATTTGAATTATCCAAGGGAAAATGTAGAATTCACATGCACTCAATGTGGTGCTCTATGCCCCTTTAGTGGTAGCAGGGCGAATAAAAAGGTAGACAAGCTCTATCAAGCTTATATTTTAATATTTACCTACCAATAGAGTGGGATGGGGTGAGATGCTTTGGCAGTGGAATTTACAGTTATTTGCAACACAGCAATATGGGACTTCAATATCTTAGGATTCGTACTAGGTTCTGTAGGGAAGAATATTCTAGCATTTAGACCCATCAGCTCCTCTGTATCCTTCTACTCCTACCCCTCTTTTGCTGCCACCTTGTGTCCATGTTCATCCTTCCCTAACTCCTAACCTCTACCATTGCAAAATTCATCCCTCCCCCGCTATTGTGTTTCTTTCTACTCCCTGTCCCTCTCACTCCTGCTCCGATCCTTCCACCCTCCTTCCATTTCTCCTTTCAATACAACTTTTCCCCTTCGAGTTAGGAAGCTTTCTGGTTAGGTACTAGCGGGAGAAGCACTTACAGCACAGGAGAGAGAATTTTCCTGTCTCCTGGCATCACAGAAGCCAAGTGGAACAATTGCAAGTAAAAGTCTCAGGGAGTAGCCATGGTCGTTGTTTTTTCAGTTACAGACTAATGGTCCTACAGCACCTTAGAGACTAATCAAAAATGCAGATGGTATCATGAAGTTTCGTGGACACAAAAGAAGTGGGTTGTGCCCACAAAAGCTCATGATACCATCTACATTTTTGTTAGGCTCAAAGGTGCTGCAGAACCATTTTCTGTTTAAGTTTTTTCAATTACAGGTAAGTCCTGCTTAGTCCCTATTGCCCTGGACTCAAGCATATTCAATGCAGATATAGACTGGCAGCTCAACTGGTCAAAGATGCCAACAAGTCTCTATAATAATGTGCAAACTCATAATGTCCAGAACCTCTCATGTGGCAGGCTTTTCTTCAAACAGCAAAAGACATATCCCTGATACTAGTGGGACTTCCCAACCATGTGAAAGTTCATGTCCCTGCTCTAAAGCACAGAAGTACAAGAGTTTTGCAATAAGATAGTTGTAAGTCACATGAGTAGGGGCCAATGCAAGCATGGTCAAGCAGGAGCACCAATCAGCAGGGGCAAAGAACTCCTCTTGGGCAGGGAGAGCGAGCTCCACTACCTCTGGGGTTGCAGGAAGAGAGGGCAGAGTCAGTTCCTCCAGCCATGGAATGGCACAAAGTGCCCCTCCAAAAGTAGCCAAATGTTTAGTCCTGTGCACACTCTTGTTTTAGGCATGAGCAAAACAGTGTATTTCCCCCATATCATTCTCTGAAACAGCTGAACAATTTTATCTGAAACTTTTGAAAAATATTCAGGCTGTAGCAGACATCCATCATAGAAAGTTTCAACATAACAGTTACAGTCTGGCAAAGTCGTAAGCAACTGAAACAGGGGCTTAGTCATGAGGCAACCTTAATTAAGGTGGCACCGACTGCACCACATATGATGCATCCTAGCTATAGACACTTTACTTATAATTCCTAACACGACAAAGATTAAATTCAACACCATATCTTGGAATGAAAAAGGGCCCATAAAAGAAACACTCCAAACTTCTTACATTTAAAGTTTTGGAATTCCATTATAGCTTTACTACAAGAAAAGTATTTCAGTTATTGAACAGTCTGCAGAGCTGTTGTCTAGGACTCACTGGAGTGACATACAATTAGAATTTAAGAACCTTATCAAAAATAGCATGTCTGCAGAAAGAATGGAGCTTGTTTTTTATTTTAAATAAATTGGAAGCTGTACAAGCAATTGGATTTAATACCTCAGAATACAGGGACTACCACACTGGATCAGACCTGTGGACCTTCTAGTCTGGTACCCCATCTCCAAAAGTGATTAGCATCCAGTTCTTCTGAGGAAGGCTTAAGGGGTAGGGCCAAAGAATGAAATTGCCCTTTAAATTAACTATATCTACCAATGTGATGTGATGTAACCTTATGAATTGTGGCCCAATTTTTATGAATGGGATTTTATAAATGAAACAGTGTTAACCATTTTTAGATTAATTTGTTAGTAGCCTGTTAAGTTTGAAAAACCTGTTACTGCAACTAAAGAGACCCCAAATTGTAACTGAAACCCCATTTTAAACTTTGTACTGCCTTAACTCTGTTTAAAGTTAGGTATGTGTGTTTATGTAACCTCATTTAAAAGTATCAATGTGGGGGCGTGTGCAAAAGGATCAGTCCCTGACACCAGCCTGTCTGAGTGACCACTGCTAGCACCACCTTCAGGTTCAAAGAACAATACAGGTGAGCCCTGCAAAAGAAGCCATCCAAGAAAAAAGACAAAAGCCCCATAAAAAATTATCAAAGTTGCATCTGTCATTAACTGATAACTAATGGACATACAGTGCCCTGGAGCAGTGGGAGATGATAGGATCTATGGACGAAAACATAAAAAGATTAGTGCAAAACTACAGGATTGGGTCTTTCAGTTCTGCAGTCATCCTCTAGGAGCATCACTGTGCACTGAAATGACCTGGCTCACCTCCTCTTGCCTAGACCACCAGGTTAGTGGAATAGCATGAGCAACTGAGTCTAGTAATTATATTCCATTCATAGAACTGTGTGTACATGTGCGTGTGTTTGTGGGGGGTGTATATTTTTAGTAGCTAGGGACAGTGAATGAAGAACTCATGCACAATCAACATGGCATATAGCTTTATTCCCCTAACAAAATTCTAATAGTTCTATTTCTCTTCATCCAACAAAAACACCATACAGCGAACAGATGCAGAATAAACTGACCCCCCTTTTTAGCTCACCTCCTAAACAACAGTAACTGAAATTAGCCTAAACCAGTGGTTCTCAACTTGTTTACCATTGTGGCCACATATGCCACTCTCTTGGTGTTATGTACTACCTACATGGCTCAGAGGATGTCACATGGGCTGCAGCTGTGTGCTGATTGGGCTGCAAGTAGCTCATGGTTTGAAAACCACTGGTCAAAACCCTCTGAAGTATTGGAGCTTAAGAAAGATTTCTGCAGTTAGTAAGCATAGATAAGGGCCAAGGACCAAGACTAAACACTACAAATAAAAAAATAAAAAATAAAAGTATGAAGTACATTTTAGTGTCTGTATATGTGATTCCCACTGATTTTAGGGAGTTCTTTACATGGAGGACTTCCAGAAATATTTTACTGGTGCAAAGCACTGGACTGGTAGAAATGGAAAAAGAAATCCTCTGTGGAGCCACAAAACAGTGCGATACAGGATGGCACAAAGCAAGTTTTCCAAGCACTATGCCCTAGCTCCAATTGGAACAGAGGGTCTTTGTTGAAGAAAGGGTCAACCAAGCCAAAGCACATTTTTAATCTCTGGACTCGTTGCCAAAGCAGTCATCAGGGAACATGTGTTAGAAAAAAAGCTGCTTATAATCCACTGCCAAAAAAAAAAGTAACCATAACTCACAAGTATAGTGTACTGATTAAAAACAAAAACCTCACCTTTTGATATAATTAGTCAATCTTCGAAGAAAATATACAAAAGACAAAAAATCCAAACAATTACAGAAATAGGGGAGAGAGAAAAATACCTCAAAGTCAAAACCATTCCAGCTGGATTGATTAACATTATGAAGTTGCAAATGTCAATGAATAAACTAATCTCTTTCATACCCCAACAGATATATGGTAGATAAAAGTTAGTAGCTGTGGAGTTCACAATTATTGTTTCACTGTATGAAAAGAATAGAAACCATCACATCTTCAGAGATCATCAGCTGCTCATAAACCTAAACTAAATCTTGGTGCTGTGAGAACAGTGCTAGGCATTCAAGATTTGAACAAAAGTTTTCTTTCAAAATGGACTTCAATACATTCTCTCACAGGAAACAAAAATATAGTAGGTCAAATAAAATCTTAATCAGTAGTTGAAGACTCTAGATGGTTTACATACAGTTTAGTGCTAGTTTGTATGTTGCACAAGAACTTAATTCTAGTAATGCACATAGATGTGAATTTGCATTCACAATTAACGGGGCAATTCTTGGGTGAAATGCATGTTTCATACCTCTGAAAACATTGTGATGACAGCTTTAGAAATGAACTGGTAAAGAAATGATATCCCATTATACTGAATCAGACAAAGGCAAACCACTTTTATAATACTAGCTTGGCCTCAGCTTCACAACGAAGATGGCTAAGCCTCTGCAGTTCCTTCCCTTTCGTAAGGGTCACCCCTCCTTAGTTAAGCCAAAGAGCATGAGCCAGAATTAAGAGGTATAATACATTGTTTATCCTTGAAAATTCACTCTTACAGAATTAGAGCCTTAGACTATAAATTGTTGGATTTGGCAGATCTATAAAACCATTATATTTATCTTTAGATAATAATTTAATCGTATAACTCTGCAATTATCTACAAGTTCCAATGAAAATCAAAACTGAAAAATAGAACTATATAGGCATATAGGAGAAAAAAATTGTAGACGATGAACCATATGCAGCTAATCAAGGTATCTAAATAGCTATCATATTAAAATTGTGTGGCAATTACATATTTTGAAACAAAATGGCCCAGCAATCAAGTACCATTCCCCATAACTCATTTGAAAATATTATAGGCTCTTGAGAAACAGTATTAGCTATATGTGTGTAATTACTTTAATGTAGTAGCTAGAATATCTTTAACAATCTTCCAATTTAGCTGACAGTAAAGCTTTTGATTCAATCTTTATCAAGAAAATGGCTATTCACTGTATTATTGCTAATAATCAGAAAAGCTATCTGATCTCTCTCTAATGAAAAAGAGAGAAAATATACCTGAACAGCAGCTACTATAAAGGTTTATGAAATCTAGCACCTATTGAAAACACCACTTGATTAGTGTAACCCAGCTGAAAGTTTTCCACTTCCTTGTTGCTGTTTCTCAAGTTCATAATTCCTGTTGTTTTCACTATTATGGTCTTAATAGTTAACTGTCCCTAAATAACTGTCAAAGATAACCTCCAAAAATAGCCATTTATACAGCACAAATGACAAATTGACTAGTTCAATAGCTGGATTGCTTTTTTAAACAGCAAACAATTCTGTATGAATATAAATGGTAGATTTATTGAAGACACAACAAGCACAAGAAACTAAACTTTGGTTTAATGATTTTACATAATTTCCTTCATCCTAATGTGTATTAAAACAATACCTTTTTCCTGTGAAAAATCTTGTTAGAACTTCATTAACTATTATGTTCAGTGTTAGACAAGAGGACCTTTTCCAGCTTTATGCCAGCACAAGAGAGGCAAAAGGCCAACTGCAACAGGTGACAGTAGCCAAGACACAACTTGGCTGGTGCTGGAAATACACTAGGGCCTGCTTGATCTATACTAGATCAGGGAGTTGGCTTAAGGTACACAACTATGCAAAATGCATAGCTGGACTGGCTTACCTTAAGCAGAGTGACGGAGATGTCCGCATAACAAGAGGCCGATGGGAGAAAACACTTCCATCACTTTCCCTTACTCCTTGCAGAAGGAGTAGTCCCGGACACCTACATCCACATCAGCAGGTGATTTACAGGTCTATAGTAGATCCACCAAATTGACTGCTAGAAGATTAACCTCTGAGGTGTCAATCTTCTGGTAAGTATAAACACACCCTAGGAGTCATAAGTAGGGCAGCCTGGGAGAAGTATCAACTCTGTACATCACGTAGGCAGCCTACCTTTATTCACTGTAATCGCCTGATGTGCTCCAACTATGCCTCCCTTCCTCTTCACAATTGCTACTACCAATTCCAGCGTATGCCCCAGTCCATCGCTATATCAAAAAGCTACACTGAGGGTGGTGAATAGTCATTCTGCTGATTATATTTCACAGGGGGCTCTTAGAGAGATTTCCTCAAGGAAATCCACAGTTTTGCAATCTCTATAAGCCTGCAGAAAGCAGAGTCTACAGCTGAGACCTGTAAGTGGTGCATAGGCCTTGTACTAGAACTTCGCACAGAGATAGGGTAAAATTCATCCATCTACACACGATAGAAACAGATCTTATTTGTACTGTATTTCAAGAGCTGTGCAAATTCAACAAAATTCTACTAGGACTTGAGTATCAGAATGTTAGCTAAATTTCAAATACAGGGTTATATTCTGCCTTAACTGATATTTTTTTCCTAGATTCCTTAAAAACTGAGCAAATTTAAAGTTAATCTGGAGGTACTGAAGCCAATACAGAAACCCATAACTGTTTTTCTAAAACAGAGTACAAATATACTTTAAACATGTCCAGTTTTGACTCTTCACATTCCATTTCCTGCAATATCAAACTGGAATAGAACTAAAAACCCTCCTCTCTCATGTGCATTTTTAAATTTCCAGAAAAGAGATGGTAGGTTTAATAATCTTTATAAAAAATAACTACTTGTAGACACAATGATGATTAACATTACTAAGCAACAAGAATTAACACATTTTTAATTTCACATTTATAAACCTACAAACCTGAAGCTTTACAGTACAAAAATTACTATTTATGATAGTGTAAAATATTCAATAATCTAATATTAAACACCAAACCCAAGAAAGTTACTATTTCAGTATACATATACTGTACCTGACTGCTGCCATGACCAAAAGGAGTGCTGGATAAATTGGTAGTAACACTGTGTAGAATAACTTCACCACTCATCGATCCAGAAGCAATGTAGCAATCATTCCAATTAAATGTTACACAAGTAATTTCATCTTTATGATCCTGAAAGAGAAAGAAACGACTAAAACAGAGTGCTGAAGAATGTTCTAGCAGAAGACAAAAATATAAGTTTGAAACAGGTATCAATTACCTGAAAAAAATATTTTTACATACTACAGTTATAAAAGTCTGAAAGTCAGGAAAAATACTTAAGGTTCACAGTTATAATGATACATTTTTAAAAGGTTTAATGGATGGATTACTGGCATTGATATGGGATTAGAGTTAAGGATGCAGGGAACCTTAGCTATGATTTGAAAATCTGGAAATTTTTCCCCAGATTGTCATGGCTTTTCTTAATACAACATGTCTGAACTCAGTTTTGTAGCTGATCATAAAAACCTATTTGTATTCCTACTATGAGGAACTTTCTCCCCCCCCCCAGTCAGGAATGTAAGATTATACAGATTGTGTTTAATTTCATTTTGGCTTTCCATTTGCAACACCCAGGGCAAAGTTCAAAAATTATGCTCATAGATTTCAGACCCGTCTATCTGGACAAACTTTGTGATGCATGCAGACTGCTTGAAATCCTTTAAGGAGTCTTCAGTCTAGAGTGCTGACTCTACAGAGATATTAATAAGGTCTTAGCAAGTGACCAGCAATCAGCCATACAGCCTTTTTTCTTGTCAACCTCCACTGCCCAGAGGCTCTAGTTGCAAACAAAAAATGCAAATAAAATTAGTTTGGAGTTACCACAATGACTTGTTTTATGAGCAGTGGCTTTTACTTAATTCCAAAAAAGCAAGTCTCACTTTCAAACATTAATGACAACATATCTTAGTTGACTAACTTTTTTTTTTTTTGTATAGTAGATGGGGTATTTGGTTTAAAAAAAACCCAACAAAAGTAATTATATCCTTAATTATGGAGTTCATAGTACTGCAACTCCCCAAGATATCATGGAAACTATCACAAGATTTTTTGAATTAACACTTTACTAAATCATTGAAAATCTAAAACGGCCTGGTAAAGGGGGGAGGGGGCATACCTCGCTTTAAACACATACTTTTGCTCATTAAAGTGCCAATCCTGACAACACTTCCATACATGTTAAAAGTTAAACTTTAAGAATATATGCTTAAGCATATCCCTTTATAGTTGCAGGATCAAGGCTGTAATGAAGAAGGAATATTAGAAACTACAGTTCTTGAAATAACTTGTTTTTGGATTCGGTTTTTTTGTCAGTTTCTTCCAATACGAAAATCCCATTCAAAATATTTTGAAATCAGTTTGTTACTTCAATCTTGAATCTGCAGAGACTTACACATGTGCTTAACTTTAGGCCCTATGAGTAGCATCCCTGATTTCAACTGAACTGCTTATAGAGCATGAAATTAAGCATGAGAGAGTCTTTTGTAAGATTAGGGTGATAAATTGTACCTTGTTTGCTACCTCAAATGTATACTAGGTGACCACGTAAAAAGTTGTTTACAAAGGTAACTATGTACCTGCTAAAAATCTTAGCACTTACACGCACTAAAGGCTCTGCAGGATAAAGCTAAGCTGCAGAACCCACAGCCAACCCTTCCCGGGAGCAGGACTGCTAGCATAGCTGCCACCCTAGGATTGGGGCCAGCAAGGGCTGCCAGCCCTGCTCTCAGGGAGGCTTTTCGGCAGGTTCTACAGCCAGCTTCCTTGCAGTGTGGGGAGCCAGGATGGGCCAGCCCCATGATGGACAGGGTCTGCTCTGGCCAGCCAGAGTAACCTCTGCCTCCCATGGGCCCCATGGCACTGGAGCAGCCCCATGCCCAGGGCAGGCAGGGAGCAGTTCCAGCCTCTACCAGTTAACTGGAACCCTCACCTGTTAAGGGTGTGGCTGACAGGTTAACATTTCACATCGCTAATGTACACATTCAAGATGGTCAACAAAGCTAGAAGTTATGGGATATTTTTTTTCCCCAGTCAACTATCAGAATCAAAATTAAAAATAGTTACCTTGAGGCAACGATGAAGTCTTCTAGACTTTAAGTCCCAGATATTAACAGTGTTATCAAGGCCTCCACTGACGATATGCATAGAACTGGAATTTAAGCTCACACATGTCTGTTTTGCCTAGTAAAAAAAAAAAAAAAAAAAAAAAGAAAAATTATAATTACAGATTTGGTAGCTTTTTCCATATATATTTCTCTTATATCATGTAAATACTCAAGAGCTTAATATAAGCAGTCCTACTGACTTCAGTGCACCCAGTTTTTACTTATATAGGTGAGGAATAATCAGATTGGACTATATGTATATTAAATATTAAACCTATCATACTAACTCAAACTTCTCACTTTTCCTCTTCCCATTTCATGTTGCCACCACCTCAGCTTTTTTTATATTGCATATGAAAAATGCATATTGAAATAGCCTCCCCAAAAGTGATTCCTTACACTTCTAGTATCACACAATAACTACCGTGAATAAATGAGATAAGACTTTCAAAAACAAATTACTTAAAGAGACTCTGTGAAGCTGTCTAGGTCTCCAAGTTCATATTCTTTAAACATTACAGAGAATATTTTAGTAGAAAGCATTTCAATTCCACAGAGTACTTCTTAAAAAAAAAAAAAAATAGTCACTGCAGCACTGAATTTGGAAAGAAAAAAAAGCCACTCAACGACAGACCTACAGTGATGATAAAAAATTATTATTAAAGTTTCACTTTGAAGTTCTTAGGTCCAGGAACACTATAGAGAGTCCATGTATTTTCTAGAGTCAGTCATTCTCATCACTGGTATCAAGCAGTTAAAAGTAGCTACATTCAGACATCTAAACAGACAAATTTCACCAGTATTCCCACAAATCTGTAAAAGCCCGACCTTTATATACTTGGTTACCAATATTTTAGTTTGTTAGCATTTAGTAAGGCTTTTGATACTGTCTTGTATGACCATCTCATAAACAAACTAGGAAAATACAATATAGACAGAAATACTATGTAACCATTCTCAGAGAGTAATCAGTTGCTCACAATAAAGCTGGAAAGGGTATATTGAGTGGAGACCTGCAGGTATCAGTGGTTTAGATAACAGCGTAAAAAGAAAAACAAACAATGAATAGTCTAGCAGCACCTTAGAGACTAACAAAACACACAGATGATATTAAGAGCTTTTGTGGGCCCAGCCCACTTCTTCAGATGAATGGAGTTAAAGGTCCAGTTTCTAAATAAATAGCAGATGGGGGGCAGGAAGGAAAGAGGGAGAAAAAGGAAAAAGTATAGTCAATTCGATGTCCGTTTCATATAACATGGACACAAGAAGGTACTAATTGACTATTCTTTTCCCTCCCCTTCTTTTTCCTTCCCTCTCCCACCCCATCCGCTATTTATTTAGAAACTGGACCTTTAATAACTCCATTCAGCTGAAGAATTGGGCAGTGCCCACAAAAACTCATGATGCTAGCTACATGTTTTGTTAGTCTTTGGTGCAACTAGACTATTTGTTGTTTTTTAAGTTCTTTCAGTTATAGACTAACAGGCTATCCCTCTGAAACCTAGAGAGAGTACATTTATAAAGTTTGTGGATGATACCAAGTTGGGAGGAGTTTTGCAAGTGCTTTGGAGGATAAGATTAAAATTCAAAATGATCTGGACAAACTGAAAAGTGGCTGAAGTAAATGAAATGTAACGAGGACAAATATAAAGTACTCCACTTAGGAAGGAACAATCAGTTGCACACATACAAAACAGGAAATGACTGCTTATGAAGAAGTATTTTGGCAAGGAATATGGGGGTCATAGTGGATCAGAAGCTAAATAGGAGTCAATAGTTCAGGTTGCACCTCTAAAATCTGGGATTCTCTGGTCCAGCAACATCCATGCTCCAGCATGACCACAGATGTTCCCAGATCAGAGAGTCCTGTGTGCTGCAGGACAATGGGGGCCCAGGCACCTGTGTGTGGCTCAGTGGGTTGGGGAGGGGCTGTGAGCTGGCATGAGGCTCATCATGGCTGCATGGTGGAGCCAGGAGCAGGTGCACAGCTCATCTGTGGTGCGGGGAAGGGGGGCAGAGCCATGTGGCTCATCTGGGCTACAAGGGGAGGGGGACAGAGAGACAGCGTGCGGCTTCGCTGGGCTGGGGAGGGGGTGGTATCAGAAGCAGGTGCACAGCTCAGCTGGGCTGGGGAGGTGGGCGCCAGGAAGCTAGCGTGAGTGGGGAGGGGCAGCTGCAATGACCTCCCCTGGTCTGGAAAAATCCCTTATCCGGGACCAGTCAGGTCCCGAGGGTGCCAAACCAGGGAGGTCCAACCTGTAAAACATGAGAGAGAGTGTCAAATTGCATATGAAGTTAGATTCTGCACTCATTTAACCTGCCTGGGCACTCAATATTGAATTTCAAAGTAGCCATCCTTCTGTAAAGGAACTTCACAAGCCAACTAGAGAGTGTGTACGGAACTGAACTTCATAAGCAAATTTGACACTGTCTCTCCTGTCTTGAACAAAGACCTGTACTGGATGGCCCATTATAAAACCTGCTTTCCACACCCAACTGGCCAACTTACATTCAACACCCAACTGGCATCAAAACCTGTATGTGAAACACTTCCAGACCACTCAAACAGCTTTATTAGCACCAGCACTACAATTGACAGGTACTTATTTTCAACTCCCCTCCTCTTCTTTTTCTGTTATAAATTGTGAGGGTCCCCCCTTTTCTCTCCACTCTTCTCATCTGAGGAAGTGGGTTTTGCCCAAGAAAGCTCATGATACTATATTTTTTGTTAGCATTAAAGGTGCTACAGGACTACTCATTTTTAACCCCTGAAGTTAGGAAAAACTTCCTGTCACGGTGGTTAAATCCTCGAATAAGCTTCCAAGGAATGTTGTGGAATCTCCATTACTGGAGGTTTTTAAGAGCAGATTACACAAACACCTGTCAGGGATTGCTGGAGCAGAAGACCTTGAGGTTCCTTCTAGTCCTGGGATTAGAAAAACTATAGTACTGGGGAACAGGATTATAACAAGTTAGCACTCCAACACAGTTTACCCAAGCATCCATGTCAGAATATAACTCTATAAGTGGGTCTCTCTCCCTCTCCAGAACATTGACTAGTTGATAAGCACTTCTACGTTCCACCTTTGAAATGTACAAAAGCCCCAACTGGGGCTCTTGTACATTTCAAAGAAAGAATGCAGAACTCTGCCTACAACCTTGGGCCAGTGGGAAGTCCCGCTGACTCCAGGCTGTTTCCACTCTGAAACGCACAAGAGCCCCCGCTAGGGACTCTTGTACACTTCAAAGCTGGCATGCTGCACGAAGCCCAGGGTCAGCTGAGGAGTCCCCAGCTCATCCCAGACTCAAAGCAGTGCTGACGCTTTGAAATGCCACGTGGAGCCAGGAACCCAGCATTTCAAAGCGGCAGCCACACTGAGCCCAAGGTCAGTTGAGGAGTCGTGTAGTCCCCAGCTGACTCCAAGCTCCATGCGGTGCTGTAGCTCTTAAGTACCCCCAGTCTTCCCCCCCCTTGCTGCCTCTATTTAATAGAGGCAGCAAGGGGGGGGGGGGGGGGAGCGACTAGTCGATTATCCGATAAGCATTTGCTTATCAGATATTTGACCAGTCCTTTACATCCCTAATGTACATACAGGCTAAACTCATAAAATTTAAGAACAAGATTTAAGTCTCAGCTTCTGTCTTGTAATTAGTTAGTATTTACTGACAATGTAACCCAATGATACCTTGAACTCAATAAGACAACACAATATAATAAAATGGTAAATTAAATGCTCAATTTTCTAACATGTGGCATTGTGTGTCATTACCTTAACCGTCCTTATTGTAACTGTATCTAAATAAAGTTGTTAAACAGCATGCAGAGCAGACATCATGCAAATACAAAAACAGAAAAAAACACCCAAAAGCCATAAGTTACACTTACCCCTTCAGCTAGTTCAAAAAGTGGAACAGGTTTACCTTTACAGCTTGAAACAACTATTTTATCACCAATTGTAGAGGCAGTGACCAGAAAATTATCTGAATTGGGAGTTAAGGACCACCGAATATAGATGATGAAATTATGTACAGCTGCTGACAAGTAAGTATAGATAGCACTTACTTAAACTGATTGGCTTAAAGTTCAAAGTAGTATACCTTGAAAAGACATGGTTGCTTTGAAACAGTCTCATTTGCTCTTTGGGGAAAGGGGGAATAAAAAGATACACAGAAAGATTTCTTGCTCTTCTCTATTATATTTAATTAGACAGCAGTTATGAAAATGGTTTGCCTTTTCCTGAAATATATTCTCCTATATGACACCACTGTACCCCCAAATCTAACCAAAAAAAGAAGGCAAATTTGGGGAAAGGGTATCTGGATTATTTTTGTTGGTTAAATCTCCACTCTGCTAGCACCTAAACCAATGATACTCAGAGCCCCAACAATTCAGGACTCAAAGAGCCACAGTAGGGTGAATTCATTATTTACTATAGTACTATATATTCCAGTGATTTTCAAACTAGGCATTATGACCCAGTACTCGGTCATGCAATGTCAGACACTGGGACTCGTTGCTGCAGAGTGATTAGTGGGGGATGCTAAGTCAGGCTTCCTGCCTATCCTGGCACCACAGACCACGCTGCACCCCAGAAGCAGCCAGCAGCAGGCCTAGCTCGAGGGGGAAAAAAGAATGAATAGGGCTCTGTACACTGCCCCTGCCCCGATCACTAGCTCCGCATGTCCATTGACTGGGAACCTGTTGCTGGCTGCTTCTGTGGCACAGCATGGTTTACAGTGCCAGGACTGGTACGAAGCATGCCTTAGCGTCCCCACTGCATTGCTGACCCAGAGCTGCTCAAGGTAAGCCCCTCTTGCCCCAAAGCCCGAGCCCCCCTCATACTGCCCAAAGCTCTCATCCTCAGCCCCACCCGTGTCTAGACTTTAGTCAAATTATGTTGGGTCACAGGTACCAACAAAGCCCGAGCCCCCCTCATACTGCCCAAAGCTCTCATCCTCAGCCCCACCCGTGTCTAGACTTTAGTCAAATTATGTTGGGTCACAGGTACCAACAATTTTCTTCAGCTGGGTCATGAGAAAAAAGAAAAAGTTTGAAAACCACTGATATATTCCTATTTAAACAGTATGACAGAAAATATTTAGATTTTATTAAATACTCACAGCAAAAAAAAAAAAAATAAAAAATAAAATAGACCAAGCACTATTTTATCAATTTTAATTGGTTAACAATATAGTAAAACAGGGGTGGGGACCAAAATCCCAGCCCCCAGTTTGCCTAGAACTGGCCCCTGAGGCTCATGGTTCCCTACCCCCAGCACTGGGCAGCCCACATTGGTGCTCCAGCCCCACCCCCCATGGGGCTGGACCACACAAAAATCTACTAATCTGGGCCCCCTAGGCTCTTGTGTGCAGGAGGAATATCTGTAGTGTTTTTCTGCCTCTCAGTCAAGGGCCACATCAGTGAGGGTTTGGAGGGGGTTTTCCCCCTCATGTGATGCTCCCAACTGATTTTTCTATGGGTCAGTGGCCTCCCACCCAAAAGGTTCTCCTCCCTGTAGTAAAAGTATCCTGATAGATTATTAATCAAAGTCACAGTGTGTTTTAATACTATGGGCTGCAAATAGCCACCAGACATACATTAAAGAGCCATTTGTGGCTCAGGTGCCTCAGCCAGAGTATCACTGAATTAAACAATTTAGTCTCCCATGTAATTTGATATTTTATCCCTCAACTCTAAATATTTTCTATACCAATGGACAAAACCTGTGCCTAAAAGTAAAAAAGCAGCTCTTCAAATCAAGACTCAAGTATTTGTAATTATCAGTTTTCATTTAATCCAGAAATTCAATCGAGTTTTGCAAAATTGCACAGACATAGTACCAAATTAACATCATAAAGGATATTATTACTTCCCCAACACAATGAGTTGACTTGATGTGAAGCATGTGGGTTGAACTGCTCCACCACTGTTATAGACGAGGAATCCCATATTTTAATATCATCTCCAGATGAAGCAAAACGGATGCTCTCCTGCATGGCTGCACCTATAAGCATAAAAAAAGCATGGGAGGAAAACAAGTTAGCTACCATTCATCTTGTAAATTAAGGGGAAGGATTCCCTCCACAATTTCTTACAAGATTTCCTTGATAAAATGATACAAAGTGTCAAGCTGACATTATACAAGCAGTCAAAAAGATGGCATTTGTAGCCTGTGATGTTAAATCTAACCTGCTGATAACTCATAACTGTTCAGGCTGAAGCCTTATAGGTGGTACATTTCCCCTCACCCTCTTGTAAATACTTAATTCTTTAAGTTCTTAATTGCTTCATTCTGAACCATGAGTATTTCAGAAACCACTTTTGAGAAACAGTAGATGGGAGCTATTCAGACTAAAATGGATTGTTCAAGTAAAGAATGGAAGTTTGATCTGTAAGCACTCCAGTACTTCCCCACCCTAGATCATATAAGGAGGTGGGGGGGAAATCTTAATCTGTGGTTTTAGTGACACAGGTCATACAAAAGAATATGAAATTTCAAATTTGCTGTCACTATCAATGCTGTTGGGTTTGGCTCTACATTCAACTTTGACAATAACAATAGACTACTTGGTTTCACTTTTCTTTATAGTCCCTTTTCTTTTCAGCTTCCTACTCAATAGCATCATTTTCTTTTTTGATTGTTTAGAAACATTTCTATAGGATAGCTGGTTATTGTGCCTAAACAAACTGATACTTTCACTTAACTCAAGTTATTTTTAAAAATCCACACATGCAAATTAACCCTCAATCCGAGGGCAGGTCTACACTAGGGGGACAGGTGGATCTATGCAACACTATTTGCATTACATTAGCAGAGTAACTCAAATCAACATAGCTTAGTTGTACTTGCCACAGGATCCACACCAAATTAGCTAAATGGAAACAAACTCTCCCATTAACTCCTCTTATTTTTCTCAATCTGGAGTACAGTAGTTAACAGGAGCAATCAGCAGTTGAGCTACCTCATATATTGACCCCCCCCCCGATAAATCATTGCCCTATGGATCCAGCCCAGCGGAGACACGCTATGTCAATGTTAAAACAGCACTGCTGGGGATTCCTATACCAATGGGAGAAGTTTCTCTATCATTTAAACCTATTCAACACGAAGTCCCCTACCCCATAGATCTACTATTTACCATGATGTCTTCCACATAGTAAGGTCAGCAGGGCTGCTCTCTTGTCAACTCCACCTACTCTTTGCATCCTGTTGGAGTGCCAGAGTTGACAGGAGAGCACTTGGATCAGAGGCGATAAACTAACGCCCGAAGCAGCATCCTGTAGTGATGACAAGCCCTGGGAGCAGCAGTAACTAGGTCGACGGAAGAATTCCCAGACTGAGCTAGAGGAATGCAGCTACACCAGGGGGCTAGGCTTAGGCCTGGCTTTTTCAGAGCCCCCAGCACGGAGGTAGCGGAGTCTAACTATAGAACAAAACAGCAGATGTAGCTCAGGCCTAACCCAACCCCCCTGGCTCCCGGGGGACAGTTGAGCGACGCCCCCCGCACGCAGGTCTCGGCCTCCCCGCGCCGCCTCGCCCGGGGCTGGTTTCTAGCAGGCCCCGGGCGAGGTCCCCGCGCCGAGCACCTGGGCGGGCTGGCTGGGCTAA